AAAGATATTCTATCTTAAAGCTATTATTATAATTAGTAGCCTAGGTTTAAGGGGTCTCTATACTAGAAGATATAGATTTAATATTATCTATTTTATTAAGTAAAGAATAATATCTAATTAAGAGTAGAAGTTAGATTAATAATTATTAATATTAATTTAAACTTATTAAAATAACTTTAATAACTTCTAATTTATCTTTCTCTAAGGTTAAATTATTAATCCTATATCTATTATTATTTTAAAAGACTTTAATAGCCTATAATATCTATAACTTATAATATTACTATAGGGAAGAGTTAATAAGGATATCTTAATAATAAATTATTACCTTCTTAGATATCTTAATTAGTCTAAGGAGGTTAAAAACTATTAATCTAAGGTATTTTCTATTAAATTAGGGATAATTAATATAAGGGGTTTTATTAAAGTTAAATTATTAATAATATTCCTAAGGGTTAGTAGACTAAGGCTGCTATAGTTTAGATTAATCTTTTATAAGGGGTTTTAAACCTTCCTAGGAATTAAGTATTATATATTTACTTAATCTAGATATACTACTAGATGGGATATTTATAGTTATTAAGGATATAGAGTCTTTAAAGAGTATAAGGATAGGGGGTAGGCTAGTAGCTACCCTATATATATCTTCTTTACTTTAAGAGATTCTAGCTATCTTTTATATTTTAACCTAAGCTAAAAATGAATATAAGGTCTAACTAACTATATAAATAGTAATATTAGTCACTAGATATTATTGCACACCTGATATAGCTTCCTTGAAGCCATATGCCTGCTGTCGATATCACACTATTATTAAATGCTTTTGCTACACTATATTAGAGGTAATAAGGCTTTATACCTTCTATAAAGCTAGTAATCTCACCATCTCTTTTTATTCTATAGCCTAGCCATCCCTAGGTAAGTAGCTTTTCTAGTATAAATTAAATCCCATCCACCTCTTATAAAGCTTAGCAAAATATATACTAATTAAAGATTTTATCTTTTAGCTTTAATTCCTATTTACTAAGACTATATAGGACCTAAAGATAGTATAATTTCTTAGAGGAGTCTATCACAGGGCTATTATTAGATAGACTTTTAAATATACTAATTCTAAACAAAATGTCTAGCAGGAAGATATAAGGACTTAGGACTAATATAAGATTAAAGATAATTTTTAAAATTAGAAATATATCCCTAGTTAAAATAGATAAGTAAAGGACACAGAGATATATATAACTAAATAGGGTAAGGTAAGTATAAGGAATAGCTTAGTAAATAAAGATTACTTATAATTCTTTTTTACTAAGAAATAATTTTATAAATTCTAGTCTTAGGTAGATAAAAAGTTAAGGATATTCTCTATTTAGATTCTAAATTAATATTAACTTAAGATCCTAGAAGTAGAGTTTTAGTAGTACCCCTAAATAGTTACTAGTAATAGTAGCTAGCTAGTAGAAAAGGAGGAGTTATACCTAATACTAGCTATAAGGAAAAGTTATCTCTATTATAGATAGGATTACTTAGATAAACTTAGCTATATTCTTAATAAATATAGTTACTTTTATATATTTTTTAAGAGAAAGCTTCTTCTTAGTTATAACTATTATAAGCACCTATAGAATATTAGTTATATATAATTACTAATACTAGTACTTAATCAGGAATTCAGGATCTCATATTATAGATCTTAACTTAAATATCTTTACTAAGGCTATATCTAACCTTAGCCTTATAGATTAGATACTACTACTTCTAGAATATATTAAGTAAGCTTTTAGTTTTTAGCCCTAGGGTGTAATACCTATCCTTTCTCTATTACTAGTTATATTACTAGGAAAAGAGGGCCTTAAGAAAGCAGACTATCTCCTTAGTATTAGAGAGATATAATAGATATTTTACTAGATTATATTTTATACCTTTATAGAATCTAGAATAATTAGTAACCTAATTACTAAGGTAGGGATACTATAGTAATGCCCTACCTATCCTAGAAATCTTATATCTTATCTAACCTCTCTTAAGTTTTTAAGCTATAGTATTTCTATTAGAGCTAAGAGATATCAAGAGCCTTAGCCTCCTAGAGGTAGTATTCTAGTGAAAGCTACTCCTCTTTATCTTTTAGTACCAGTTCATCTTCAGACTCATTATTATGTTTATTATTAGACTTAGGCTTAGATTCACTGCTATCAACATCACTGAGTGCAGTGGAGGAATCAGAGTTAGAGGTGCTATTTAAGAAGATCTTAAGCAGGCATGAGCTAGTATCACACTCACTGTTAGAGAGAACATAACATAGAGGAGAAGGCATGGCAGCGGAACACAGTGTGTAATTAAAGAGGGGGTAGAAGGGGCAAAGATGAGTTAAAGCATGAGGGAATCATTTAGTTAATGCTAGTTTTATTTTACTAGGAGTAAGTCACCCATTAGAAACACAGGCCTGGGGCTGGAGGAGTTGCTGGGGAGCAAGGGAGGACTGTTAGTTAGGAGCCATGGTGGTTAATACTTATAGAAACTTAGGGAAGCAGAATAATCAATAGAGGAGCTAAAAATAGCTCCCCTCTACCAGGAGGGTGATTAAGGGTGAGTAAGGATGGGTTGCTGCAGCAGCTGCAGCATGAATAGACATTAATTAGTCAATAGGTCCAGGCACCAGGCACAACCAACATGAAGCATGGGTGGTAGTAAACAGGCTGGCTGTGGGCTTTAGCACACGTGACGCCAAGACCGGCCACAGTAAGCAAGCAGCTTAAAATGGCGTCAAAAGCAGCTGTTTCTGGCCTCATATCTTTAAATTCAACATAATATAATATAATATAGGTGGAACTGGCTTGCAGAGACATACAGCTACTAATTATTTTATTTAAAGTAATTTTAGCTATAAGGTCATTACTAGCAAAGTAATTTTATATAGATATCTATATCTTAGATGCCTGTCTAACTTTTTAGCTACATGGCCTGTATGTAACCTTTTTATAGTAAGAAGGGGTAGAGTTGCATAACCAAACTGCAAAAATCAAACCCAAACCTCACCAAACCTAGAGTGGTTTGGGTTCAGTGCCTAGCCTAGGGAACTACACCAGTTTTAATTTCTCTTGGCACTGAATCAAATCTGTTAGGGGAAACTATTAGTTATAGTTTTTGCAGGTTTAACCTAATGGTTTAACTAACCCACACTGTTTTACCTAGAAATCATTGAATTCTAGATATTAGTAATTAATATTAATATCACTAGATAGCCCCTAATTCAGGCTATCTAAATATATAAATATTAATCTATAATACCTAGTGGTTGCTGAGATATAAGGGAATAATTATCTCTGTCATAGGTTAGTATAGAAGTGGTGCGGAGATATATATATAAGGGCACTAAGGTCTAATAGCTACTATACCTTTTAAATAATTTTTAACCACTACCCATTCAACCCTATAGATATTGAATTGATATTTCTAATATAGATTAGAATGGTCATAAATACCATATATTTCATATAAAATTAATGATTTTATATAAGTATGGTTGATAGGCCCTATAGAATAGGGGCCCTTGGGGGAATGGTAAGGGTTAAAATAGTTAAAATTTATGGTTTAACCAACCTAAAACCAAACTAAATCTAACCATGGTTAGTTATGATCAGCCTAGCTAGGCCTAGCAGTGGGTTTTTGCAGTGAAACCATAACCAAATCACACTGGGTTTGATTTGGTTGTAATTTCTAAAATTTGAACCCGAAACCGCAGCAGTTCAGTGCCAACTAAGGTTGAACTCACCTGAACTCGCACCAAATGCAACTCTAAGAAGGGGGCCCTGCTAAAGGTCATATATATAAAATTATAGTATATTCTTAATAATTAGCTAGTTAGTCTAGTTAGTTATTACTTTTTAGTAGTACTAATAAGCTTGCTAGATTGAATCTAGCACTAGTTAATTTCTTTTTATTAAATAGCTTCTTATTTAAAATTTTTATTATATTTTAGGGAGGGGGCAGCTATGTTGCTAGATGCACTAGATTACTAGTAAATTACTAGTAAAAGGGGGGTTAAAATAACAAACTTTTTCATGTTAAGAAAATCTCCCGAAAAACACTGACATTTTGACATTTTGACATTTTGAATACCACCCCTACTCTCAGCTGCAATCCGAATTAATCAGGCTGCATTAGACGCCGCTCGAGCCTTGACGCCAGTCCCGAGCAGTATTAGCCCGCAGGCCCCAAAAATACTCAGTAGAAATAAAAACAGTTGTCAGTCGTAATATTATGAATGATATCTGACTGCCGATCCCCACGAAATCCGGAAAAGTTAGGTGAAAGCAACAGATAAATCAAATGACTCAAATAAGGAAGAATAGGGTGATTCCATTTCAACGCCGTGGACATTCTTGACGATCTCTAATTAAAAGGAATAGGAGACTGGTAAATCCGTCCCCTAACTACTCTGAGTACTTCACTCTGACGTGAGAACTAACTGAATAATACATGACACATAAACTCTGACTTGTTGACAGACCAACCAGCAGCGACAGATCATCGGTATGGAGGGCAAGGGACCCAGGTTGAATACGAGGGCGAGGCTGAGCGGGACCACACGGGCCCCCTCTTAGACCAGATGCTCTATAATAATGGATTATATCAGCAGAATAATTCGGGCAGCTAGTAGGCGATTTCGTTAGGCGCCGCGGACTGTGAAAGGGGCGTCCAGATTCCCGTCAGAGCACTGTATGTATTGCGCTGATTGGGTGTTAAGATGATTCTGAGAATATCATTTACCGACTTGGAAACTGACCACCAAACTAAGCATTCGTTAGCTAGCTGTGAAACACGAGTGGATTATTAATTTCCCCAATTGCGCGCGAGGCGAGACAGCCTTGTGTGATGGTCAGCTCTCTTCAGGCGAGGCTGAATGTTATATAGCCGGGGATGCTCGCCACTAAAAAGTACTCAGGAGGAAGATAATAACGCTCCATAACAGGGCTGGAAAAGGCGGAAACATGGAAAAGACAATGGCGGCATCTTCGCAGACTCCCATCACCAACGGGCAACAGCAATCCCACCATGACGATAGCCATTTCCATCTCCCCTTCGTCGGAACCAACAGGGCAAAGGACCATCTCACCACACAGTACAATGGCAAATGGTCGGTGCGAGAGAGATTCCGGCGACCGGCCATAACCGCAGACCAGCTTGATAGTCGCATGCGAGAGCTGGAAGATGGCCGCGGCGTGTACAGAAAGCGACGGTATCGGAATCCTGATGGCGATAACTCGCACGAGAAGTATCCCGACCTCGACACGTACTACAGCACCAATAAGGAAATCCCTCGCCGGCTCGCTGTGCAGGCGACCCCGGAAGCGCATAATGATACTCGGCCTCGGCATTGGGGTCTGCGCAAGATCAAGGGTCACTCGCCGCTTATCATTCGGTTGGCGGACTTTTGCTTGAATCCGCTTGGGTATGAGTATGATGACGAAGGGGAAGATTATGACGATGACGAAGATGATGCGATCCCCCATGAGAAACAGAAGGAGAAGAAGAGTTTGGGCCTGGTGATGAAAGACCTTTGTCGACGGACCCTGCATGCCCTGGCGTCGACGGTCTGCACGATTCTTCTGGCGTGGATCATCCAGTTGATGCTCTCTATCCAGATTGTCACCGCGCCATGGACGGATGACGGGTCGACCGAGCCGTACGCGGAATACGAGAACGTGCAGTGGTACTGGCCTAAACATGCAGTCAACCCGCTCGATCAGGCGCCGAACAACGACAAGCCGCAGTCGCAGGTCGCCAGACTGGCGATCCCTCGCCGCCTGGTGGTCAAAGACGCGGCCACAGGCCAGTGGGTGGCCAAGAAGACCAACGGCCTCCGTGATCCGAAGACCGGCCTGCTCCCCCCGTACATTTTCCTCAGTTTCTCGCGGGCGAATTTCCTCGGCAAATCAGACGAGGCCCTGCGGCCTTTTTTCGATCGGGTCGCCGAGAGCCTGCTAGCTCATGAGAATGAGCACAGGCAGGATGAAGTGCCCGTGCAGGCGTTCTGGGTGGACGTGTATTGTGTCTCGCACGCAAGCGACGAGGAGAGGACCAGGGATGTCCACACAATCTGTGATGCAGTTCGCTGTGCAAAGCGCGTGTATGTGGTCCTGCCCAATGACGATCCGGAGCACAAGAGAATGTGGGGTGCGCGCATTTGGACTTTGCCGGAGGTTTTACTCGCTGCGGACAAAATTCGATATTGTTTCTCGTCCCCACCAGCAGCGGGCGAAGGATACGATGGCCAGGTGACCTCAAGACCGCACGAGCTCACATTGACCGATATGCTCGAGAGCTTCTGGCCCGGATCCAGCCCCGAGTCGTGGAAGGACGACGACGATGACGAGAAAGACCGCAGGCTGGAGCAGCAACATGAAGAGGCGATCGGCCACCTCATCAACCATTATAGCAACTCCACCAAACTGAGCGAGTTGCAGCTGTTTACCTGTGCAGTCCAGGCCCTGGCGGAACGAGCCGAAGGGAAGTCGACCGAGGGCTACACAACGACCGACCTGGCCTACGCCGCCATGGGACTGTTGGCCTATCGAATCATCCCCAATGCCTCGGACAACGCCTTTCAAGCCATCGCTCGGCTCTCGCTGGTTAACGATAGCAACCGCTTGCTAGAGCGCCTTGCCTGCCTGTGGCCGCACCCAGCAACGAAGAACGATCAGGAACAGGACCTCATTGTGGCCGGCAGCGAGGAGCTTCTGCGCAATATCGCGGATCGCGATCAATACTCCGTCCATCTCTGGGACATCCAACCGATGTGCGATGTGGTGGGTATCGGTGATGACCCATTCACGCCCACCGTTATTCTGGACCGCTGTCGAGCGATCCCCATCCGGTGGAAGGATTTCCCAAAAATCAAATATGTCAAGGACCTCAATGGTTTCCGTGCCACCGTATCGCAGAAGATCGTGTACTGCGGCGCTTGGTTCCTAGCAACCGGATTCGGCCTCTTCGCATCCGCAATTGCGCTCCTCTTCTCGGTCATGCCCTACTACAACGGCTACAATAACAGTGACAATCCCGCACCGCGGCGGCAGAACGAAGTCGAGCCGGCCATGTATCTCCTCGGCGTAGCTTTGTTCATGGGCTGTGGATGGGTTATCTCGTGGTTTAGTCCGTGGGCGGTGCGACAGCTCTGCAACGGCGGGTACACGGGGGTCTCCTGCCATTTGATCGGGTTTGAAGGAACTATGCCACTGGGAGAGATCGAGAGGGCCATCTGTGGCTTCGACAATAACCGCTTCTCCTACGCTGCCTCGTCGACCATCTTCTCCAAAAACCTACGCCATGCCAAGGTACGAGCCGGCAGAGTCCCGGGCGAGGGAGGTTGGGCGGCAGAAGCCGAGCGCCTCGGAGTGCCTCCGGGCCACCGCCTGTTCACCATCGTGGATACAGGGAACTGGACCGTGTCGGTGATTGCTGCTGAACGACCACCTGTGGTGGCCTTGATCTGTGGCCGCGAGGGCGGTATGCTCCGGGCCCTCCTGTGCAGCTGGCGCTTCGAGAACAACTGTCTGTACCGCGAGTGTGTGGTGCGCATGCGGAGCTCGCTGGAGCACCTGGCCACACCGAATGACTGGCTGAAGGTCAGCTTGGCTTGCCAGGGCGATGTGGCTCGCACACGAGTGAATCAAAAGCCTGCGCCCTCTCCTCAGATTGCTGTTTAGGCGTCAGGATAGTCGCTAATGTCGTACCTTCCTACTATGTCGATTTATAATATCATAATGCTTGTATGGCTATATAGTCTCAGCGTCGCTGAGTTTTAAACACAAACACAGACGGAGAAGAAGGCGTAACATGTACATTTCCGTCCATGTTGATTACGCGTGACTACAGTGGGGTGCAACAACCAGCTTACCTTAGCTTACGGTCTACTATAAGCTAAACCTAATTAAGGAGTAGTTTGATGCCATTATAACTCATATTTTGTATATGAACCATCTCAATATCTTTATTCTATAACTCTTAAGTAGTAATATAATAGAGTTGCATTCGGGCGAGTTCAACCTCTATTGGATCTTGGGACCGAACTGAACGGCTATCTTGGCACTGTTTTGCTTAGTAATCACTAATTTTAAGGATCTCTCGAGAATTTTGATATCACTAGATAGCCTAGTATCTAGTCTATCTAAGAATGAAATCCTATTTCGAAACATCTAGTGGTTGTTGAGATATAAGGGTATCATTTTCTCTGTGAGGGTTTGGTATGGAAGAAGTGGTTGATTATAAATATGTGCGTCAACCTTTGATAACTACCTTACTTTGGGAATGATTTTTAACCACCACCCATTCAACCCTATAGATATTGAAGTGATATTTAGATATACATTAAAATAACTATAATTACTATATATTTCATATCAAAATTATAATTTTCTATAAGCATGTTTGCTAGGCCCTAGGCATAGGCCTAAGGTAGGAGAAATTGAAATCTAAAAACCATTGGAATTTTGGTTATTACCAGGCCCTACTGCCTGCCTAGAGAGGGGGCATACAGTTCAGAAAGGATCACTGAAACTAGCGCCTTCTTTTTCCTTCCCTCTTCGGTCAAAGGGTAGAACAAGTCGCGCCTCTCTTCAATGAGGTCAATCAATGCCGGGGACGGTTTCCCACTATCCCAGAGGTCGCTATTATCTGTATCCCACAGGTTAGACCATCCGGCAGCATGGTCTTCGGTTTCTCTGGTTTGGTTAGGCTGAGATCTGGGCTAAGTATGCTTTGCGAATTTCGGGGAATGACACTTGCACCACGCATCTGGCCAATCATGAAGGGAAATGCTTTACTTGTGAATCATGCAAGTTGTCTTGCGCCTTTGGTATCCCCTCACAGGTACTAGTACGCGAAGGATTCTCGGCGTTGAAGAGGTGTATTAGCTGAGACAGAAAGTTGTCAGCATCGGCAGTTTTGGCAGAAGTTCGGTAATCAACTAGTATTTGCACGCCGAGATAACCGTCTGAAAGGGTCCGATCTCCTCAATCTAGTGGCTATCTAGGTGATCTGTATACTACGGTATGGAGCGAACATGAAGCTATCCAAATCATCATCTCATAGATCGCCTCACCTCGATCCCAGATATCCGAATACCACCTAGACGGGTCATTCAGATAAAAAGATCCATGTAGATCAAGATGACTCATGACATTTGGAGCACCACGTCAGCTTCTTATTTTAGTTTCTCTCCCTTCCAATCACCGCCTATGAGAGCCGACCGCATTAGAAATCCCTTTATAGTCTCCAACACTATATTTAAAACCATCACCTCGGGGCTGCATTTGGAGAACCGTGCTTGCAAATCTGCACCCAAGTCGGACATACCAAAGAAGACATCGAAAATCTTTCGCAATGCAGGCAATTCGTGTGGGTTCAGCTCCTTCATCTACCGCTCCATATTCATCCTCAAATCCGGCACCGTCGTCAGCCTTGTACCTCGATCAAAATGTGCCTATTCCTAAGCTGTCAAAAAAAGACGAACTCCTTGTCCGTGTCAAGGCTACAACGGTGATTCGTGACATGTTGACGTGGCCCGAAACCTATCGTCAAGAGCATGCCATTCTCGGAAACGACCTGTCGGGTATTGTTGCGGAGGTTTGTTCGGAGGATTGCAAGTTCAGACCGGGAGATGAGATTTTCGGAATGTCAAACGTGAATCGCGCATCTGCATGGGCCGAGTACTGCATCGTGGAGGAGAATGAAGTTGCGCTGAAACCAAAAAGTCTATCCTGGGAGCAAGCCGCGGCTATTCCCCTTAGTGCACAGACAGCATACGAGGCCTTATTTGACCGTGCGAGTGTTCCTGTACCCTCCGTTGAGGATGCAGCGAGAAACAGATCTAGGACCTCCGGCGAAGGGCAGCACCGGCTTTTGATCACTGGTGCCGCTGGGGCTGTTGGAGTCTACCTTGTCCAGCTGGCTTCCCTTGCTGGACTCCACGTTGTGGCTGCCACGAGTTCGAATACTCGCAATGCAGAGTTCCTTCGAGAGCTCGGTGCTCACGAGACGGTTGAGTACGGCATGCTGGAGAGCCACCACGACAGCGCTTACGATATCATTATTGATACAGTCGGAGGTGGCGTGTTGGCCAAGTGCTGGAAATATGTGAAAGAAAACGGCACTCTTTTATCCGTGGATTCAGCGAGCTACAACTTTGCTGAGGATCATGAAAAGCGTGGTATACGTAGGGAGGGCGTCCGCGCTTTGTTCTTCATTGTCGAAGGAAGCAGCAAGGCTTTGCACTATTTGGCTGAACTTGCGGACTCGGGTTTTGTACGTCCTTTCGTTGCTGGGACGTATCCCCTTGCAAATGTACAAGAGGCGTACGACATTGCCAACGGAAGGCATCCTGGGCGTGGAAAGATCGTTCTTACCATCTGAACAGGCCGATGCCATACGACATTTGTCCACTGAAGACCAAACGCGAGACTCCCGATGTACCTATTCTGCCAGCTCTACTTGCTAAGGAATTAGAAATTATGCGCAAACAATGATGGGAATGACTACTAAAGCCTTCACAAGTGCAACCGCCTTGTAAACTAGGCTGGATTGGTGTATTTGTTGAATAAGCATCTAAGTGGTGCTTAACTGCAACTAGTTTTTCTTTGACTGAGATCTACCGGTCTGATAGGAAATGTAGTCATAAATATGACACGCAATAGGTGCTTGGAGGTCAGACAGCCAAGTAAATATAACTCTTTTCAGGGGCAGGCGTACTCCTTAACGCCGTCTCAATCTGTTATAGATGTCTTCAATCTCATTGCCCATCTGTTGTTCCACACGCTCATGTGCAAGTCCGTCCTTGATCAGGTCTCTTTTTGCTGAGTTCCCGCTAGTCCGCGCCAACTCTTCGGTAGCTAGTTCAACTGGACTTAGTTAGAAAGAACGTATCTGCAATCCACATTTAGAATTTAGTCTCACCATGACAATACACAGCCGCTGTCTTTCCGCTGGACATCGCGTGGGGAACATTGGTGCTGTTGTCACTGTTGGCATCGCCGATGCCCCACACTCCTTTAACAGTTGTTCGCAGACCCCGAGCCGTTGTGTTGATTTTGCTTCCCAAAAGCCCTACACCCAACTGGCTCGGCAGCTCGGAAGCCTGTGAGGTTGCGTAGTTTGTAATGAAAGCACCCCGCTCCTCGAAGGTTTCATCCGTGAAGTAGACTCGGAACTTGTCGAACTCTTTACGACTAGCCTGATCCTGGGTGACACTCCCGTTCTGGACGCGTGTGATGTTCTGGATCGGCTTGTCCATAGTTGTGACATTGTATGCCTTGAATACTGCTTCCCAGTTCGGATCCTTGCTGGCAATGCGCGTGAGTTGGTCTGTGTTGTTGGTACCGTTAGAATAGACTCGTATGTCCTTGTTGAGCGTTGGATGCAGTTCCCTGACGCTATCATAGGCATCTGATAGGTTTCCGAGGACGCCTATTGGCTGGTCACGGTGCTCGAAGCCATCACACCACGGGCACCAGAAAATACCCTTGCCAAAGGCGTCACGGAGCCCGGGGACATCGGGAAGGTCATCTTTCAGCCCGCTACCCAAGATAACCTTGCGCGCTGTAAACGTTGTGCCATTGGCTACTGTAGCACTGAAGCTGTTGTTGAGAGGCTGAATAGAAGTAACCTTCTGATCAACAAAGGTTGTCACGTTGTAAAAGGATATTTGCTGCCTTGCAGCGGCTCGGAAGTCGGCAGGCACAACATCTGATCGAGTGTGAACCAGGGTGTAGGCAAGGAGGATGTAGTTATAAAGGATACATGCGGTCGTTACCAATGACATCGTGCATATGCCTTGTGGGATTGTTTCGGTACTCTCCGGAGTCGAATAATATCACCTTTCTCAAGACACGCGACAATGCACTGGCTGCACTGAGGCCAGAAGGTCCACCGCCAACCACAATCACGTCATACAGAGTCTGATTGGCCTGCCCTAAGCAGACAGTCAAGAAAGTAAATAAGGAGAAAAGTGCCCTCGGACGGAAGACAAACATTGTCACAGGCCGTGCATCAACCAGACACTGGTGGCTCCAGATGATATCGAAGAAGGAGCGAAAGCAAGAAACGATGATAAAGGGAAGTCTGCAAAGACCGAGATATGAAACAGAAATGCCGTACATATATTTGAGGAGTATAGCGTTTTGACGTCATTGACTTATTTTCGAAACAACAGCGATGGAACAGTTTGCAATGGACGTTGCACAGCGAGGTTACATATCATAAAATACAATTCAAATCAATTGTAGCAGGAATAACTTGGCTGCAATAGTATAGTCTGTTTGTTACTTAGCATGCTAACATCGATGTCGCGGTAGAGACGGACGGCATTAGAACCAAATAAAAACGTGATGAACTGTATGAACCAGCTGTAGTTCGAGTGGAGATACTCAGCTTGACGGCCTCATGAGACCCATCTAGCACCACTTCGCAGAGCAGGCTTCTCGAAAAGTCCTTGAACAAACTACCGAAACCGCGGTACTTCTCTGTCTCTCCGACGGGGTCGTCACAACAAGGAACGGCGACTCGAAGTGGGGAGGAATGCATTGTGTCGTGCGAAGAAGGGATTCTCCCATGAAACCAGCAAAGTCAATAATAGGAAGAGTCGGCAATCGTGCACATCGGACACCTGAGTTGTATGTTGCTGGATTGACCATGAGTTGATCCACCCTTGTATGTGAACGGTTTAAGTTGCGTCCAAGTTTTGGCAGTATCTGGGAAATTGTTGGTCAATTAGAGATAATTGCAGAACTGCTGTGATTGTAAGGTACAGTTGGTCTCAAAGTAGCCAATAACATGGCATATGTCTCATCAAATATCAGTTACTCTAGCCGCGCTAATCTTGTGTTGATACGTGCTGTGAGCTATACGTGAGGCGGAGAGTTATCACCTCTTTTCCCACCAGCGTCCGTACTTCTTCTACCTGCCCGCAAGTCAGGATGGCTCCAGATTCCACTCTTGACGGTCAGTTGGAGGACACTCAAAAATAGGCACTACGCATCTATGCGTCTAAGACATATCCCAAGCCCACTCAGAGAGAATATGCTGCGTGGTTTCATCTCGTCATATCAACCGTGCCACGGTCTCGAAGATCTTTTCATCGAACTGTAAGCACTTTGATACCAGTTTTGCTAGTCGGAACAGACCCCTGTTAGCATCTCAGTGACCTCTACTAGATAAGGCCCTACATATCTAGCAGCAGCGACATGAGGACGCCGGCCTTCCATCACAGGCCTATTGATTCGGAACAAAGCCGTCGAATATTGAAAAAGAAAAATCGTGTCCCATTGGCCCTTGCCCGCTAGAGCCCAACAAACGCCACGTCAAAACCAGACATTGCAGTAGCATAACTACCTGAGTACTAGTGACCTGATATCTCCACTGCAAGCAGCATAAGCGCAGCATTACATTCTTTGAGGGATATCAAGCCAACACATGCATGATGGCCCAAGCGAGCACCCAGGCCTCGTCTACAGGCAAAGTTTCATGGGCACTATTAATAGAATATTAACATGACATAACTAGTAATCTGCGTCTTCATGGTGATTATGAGCAGTGTTCCATCTGATGGGATTAGGTTGCGGGTCAAGTTTGTAATCCAGGACCAAAGGCTGTCAAAGGCACCTTACTGGCCAGTTCTAAGGTTCAGGATCAGCTTGCCACGGAAGGTTTCCAAGTTCTGTGGGGATTGACGAATGGTTCGCATGTCGAAACAGCAGCCACGGATGCTTCGCCTAAGCTTATTTTATAATAGTACATTTTTTATTATATAATAGCTCGCATCCAGCATGATTTGTGTAACGCGCCGTAGCAGTACTAGCCTAAAATAAGAGCATATTTGTCGTAATTTTCACAGGACGTTCCATTGTCAAAGTAGGGTATTCTATTCCTAGGCAAACTAAGCTTTTCTATTGGAAAGTAGTTTGTTATTAATGCTCACTTTATTGTTTTCATCCTGCCTTCCCTCAATCTCAGAAACTAACCTTGGATATTGAAGGAGATGTCATACCGCAACTCCTCTGAGCTGGATGAGGCTTCTCTCATGACTACAGGTAAAAGGAAAGGACATCAACGCCATCGAAAGTTTAAGAAGTCCCGGCAAATTACTGTGGAGGAACCCCATCATCAAGTCTCTTTCGTAGATCCCCGGATAGTTCCTATCCGATGTCGAATGCTTCGGACAGAGCTCGTGAGGGGGGATTCAGAACACCTTTTCCAAGGTCGGGAATTGGACAATCTCTCGCCATACAAGGGGATAACCGCGAAACTTCTGGTATCTTGCCTTGAGACTATTGTTTCGTCATCAACCTCTGGAGACGTACCTTTGAGTTTCCCAGGTAGATCTTGAGTTTAACGAGGAGTTCCGGCTCGATATTAAGAGCATTGTGGCGGCCATTTGGCCATAGACAGAAGCTGATCAGCTTCACAACCCGAACAATCCTACCGGGACCTGCATGTCCGCGGAGGAGCTGAAGCAGATTGCGGGCCTGGCTCAACATCAAGGCTGCTACCTTCTCGTTGATGAGATGTACGTGCACCTCATGCATTTCGACTGTTTGCCAGGGTTCACCCCATCCTTCACGTTATCAGTGTCGGCTCCATGTCCAAGGCCTTTGATGTCCCGGGTATTTGTCTCAGCAGGGAGGATGGTAGGACCAGCGTGAACTGCAATGATTGAGGCAGTAACCACAGTGCACGCAGATAGAGAGAGGAAGCATCAGTGAGTGGTACATTATACATTATACCATGGAAGAGGAAACGGTGCTAATTCGGAGAGAGATGTTGGACACGACGCGCCAACTAGTGGGGGTGTCGCATTCAGCCCGCCCTCCACTGGCCACCTTGAAGCTTAAGGCATGATCCAGGGTGGGAGCACAATAAGTGTCGTTGAAGCTTGGCAGACTGTCCGTAATATTATCTGTTTAATTGTTGAAAATGTCTTCTACTTTACTGAACAGTTAGGTTGAACATCAGATTCTCAAACAGAACACTAGAGATGTTCAACATAGCACTCCCCTTTCCATGCAGCAACCCGTGCATGTTACAGGTAACGTTAGCATCCGGCAGTAGTAACATCGAGGCTTGGTAGAGAGAAAATGGCAGTGGAATTTGAAGTATATTTCAGTAATAAAGACTTGTTTACTAAGAATGTTTAGCGTCTACAACTAGTACTCCACAGGGGTCTGCACCACCCTATCCAACCATCAACTATACCCTTGTTCAATCCACACATTTCCTATTGATTGAACCGGGTTCTTAAGCAAAGCCAGTGCTAACCACGAAGCTCACATCGTTGTTGAAGGAGTAGGTGGCGTCAAACGTGTGAACACCGCCGTTGCTCGCGGCGTAGCCCACATTGTCGAAGTGGCGGAAATAGCGAGTGGGATAGCTCCAGGACCGAATCGAATTGCCCTGGCCGTTGAGGCCGGCTTGCGGACAGAACGTGGCGTCTTCGTTGAACTGCTTCGTGCCGTCGTTGGCGTTGACCTGGAGCACGAAACTAGAGTGCCGGATGAAGCTGCCGGGGGTGTCCTTGGACTCAAACGAGAAGCAGCCGCTATTGGCAAGGCCGGTGCGAACGGTCCAGCTGGCCTGCTGTTTGAGGGTGGTGGAGCTGGATGATGAGACGACCTGGGTGTTGACGGTAGCGCCGGTGTGTGCGAGGTAGCGATTTGTGTAGCCGGGTGTGGTGACCCGCAGCGAGATCGAGGAACCGACAGTGAGCGCCGGGCCACTGGTTAGCGACGCGACGGCGTATTTGGCTGCTACAATGTTGGCCTGCACCGAGTTCTCGGTGGCATCGGACGGATAGCCAGAGGTCATCACGCCCTCGTAGAATGTGCCTTGGGCGCCGACGCTGTTGTCGCCGCCGATGCCAAGAACTATGGCACCCTCTTTGCTCATTGGATTGTAGCCAGACACGCTTGGGCGCGCACCACTGTAGAACGTCGATAGCGAGCCGGACGCAGCGTTGCCGCCGCGGATTGCCCACTTGTTTGCGCCCCCCTTGACAGCCGCAGTGAGGAACCGGTAGGAGATCGACGGGTCGCCAGCGTTGTTTTTAGGGCTGGAGCCAGAGAACAGGCCGTTCTCGAGATCGGCCATAATCCACGGGCCGCTGCCGGCGCCAGTGCCCCAGATAGTGTTGGTACCAAAGTAGATGGCCTCCATGTGGCCACTGCCTGTATCGGTACCGCTGGTCTCCGCGTTGCCATAGTCGAAGCAGCAGCCATCGTTGTAGTGAGTTCCGTCAAGGACTGCGTACATGCCCTCCGCTGCGTCGCCTGTAGCTATGCCGCTGGCGGCGTTGTTGCGGTAGCCGGTGCCGGGCGAGATGAAGACACCGTACGCCTTCTGACCGTTCAGCGTGACCGGTGCGCCAGTCGCGCTAGCCAGGTTGTCGTAGCCATGGGCTTCCGGGCCTTTCCAGTAACCCCCCAGAGCCTGGGAGAGGTGATTACCGCGGCCGGACTGGTCATAGATGATTGTGATGAGGCAGGTAGTGCTGGCACAGAAGGAGTCTTGCGCGGCGGCATTCGCGACACCACCAGCAGAAAGAGGCGCAATGTCAGCGGTGGCATTATCAGAGCCGCGCTTTACCTGGTAGAGTGCGCCACTGTAGGCGCTGTACAGGGCGCGAGTGGTGCTGTGGGCGGCGACACAGGGCGTGCCACCAGAGGAGTAGATGTCACAGGGCCCAGCAGCGACAAGGGAGCCTGTGGCAACAAGGCCAATGGCAAGCACGCTGGCACGTTCAACGCTTAGTTGGGGGAACATGTTTGGTCACTTCTGGTGGGGAACAGTGGGATAAGCACGCCTGTGTGTGTCTTGAAATCAGCAATGGGATGCTGAACGGCCGCTGAAGTAGAACAGGTATGTTGCAGGGTTGTAAGCGATCAAGTCCCTCTTTATATATTCATCCGATTCATCACGCTGACCATTTTTCTAGATTAGGAGTCACATGCAGTTGTAAAGTGGCGTGAAATTCCCTCCAATAATTATAGCCAAACTATACATTGTTTACATGATAGTATAACCTAGTGAATTTTAGTCTTCAGAAACTCGGTTAATACTGGAAGCAGATTTAACATCAAATTAAGCGACAGTATTTCTGAACTATGATAATTCAAGTTGATCATTAAGTCAATAGGCGATCTAACTAGTACGGCAGGAGAAGTACACAAATTAGTGGTGCTATACAACAGGCCTATCTTCTCAGTAAAGGTCAATAAGACCTTGAAGATAGAAAAATTACCAATCTATGATATAATACTCGATCTGAAGACTCAGGTCAATGTATATAAACCAGTGCAGTCGTCTTGCCCAAGATCTTGCACAGACTTCAGCCTGAGGAAGAATTGTGATAAGATGGAGCTTTACGCTAAATCCGGTGGACTTACACTGGAAAGGTTTTGCCGAAACTTTTCGATTTGTCTTGCCAGGAATATTATTGAAGAAAAAGACAGACCGGAGCTTCAAGCGGAGCCGAGACGGCTTGGAATTATTATTTTTGGTGTCTTCATGCCTCTCGTGTTCGTGGGGGGAAATCTGCCGGCACTCCTCCGTAGCCCTAGTTGCGGGGAATTGAAACGAAGACATTTTGACCCGTTATGATTGAGCAGGACGGAATGTTTTGTTCCACCTCTGATGCTCGCCAGAAGCAGTCTAATGCGTGTCACGAGGCCCTGTTCATGCAGTACTGGGGCATTTCGACAAGTTTGTCGGCCCCTCTTGAATATACCCCGCATAAGGGTAGGTGGCATTAGTAGGCATAATTCCGTATATGCGTCTAGGGCTAACCATGCCGCTTGTGCCACCGGAATTTTCCCATTTTTTCTCGCCAGGGGACAATTAGCCGAAGCAACTAAAGTAGTTGAATATCACAGACCAGGGGCGAACCTCATCCACGTGCTTGGGGATGCGGGGCCCCGGACAAGAGGTGAGATTCTCCACTGGCAAACCCAGCCACCAAATTGCGATCGGCCCAGGGCATTTCTTCAGCAGTTCAACTACCCAGAGTGCCACCAATTAGAGATTCAAATTTGAGTCAGCAGGAAAAGCCTATCCTGTGAGCTAACCACTCTATTAAACTGCCTTTTGTATCGATTCGGGATCGGTCAATTCCACGTACAGAACCACGTCCATGGCCACCCACATTGCCGTGACGACGATTGAGGGAATTCTTGCGGATACGCTTGGATTAGCTCCGAGATGTAGTATGGCTACGGAAATGGCCAATGTCCTATTGTCGAACTGTTCGGTTGTCTGCGAACTTGGTTCCCTGCTCATTCCGGGTTTTCTTCCGCCCATGATTTCAGTCTTTGATGTGTTGATCCAACATCTGAGATCTGTATGTTTTCCTGTATTTCCACAATTTCATTTTGCAAGGTCTGTTGCCGAGCTTTAATCCTCGGATGTCTGTCTGGCCCAACTCGACGGTTATATATATTCTGGTGGGTGATAGTTTTTGAGGTTGTTGGTCAACGACCAGATCATCTGGTTACCGAAACAAGCATTATTATATTGTCTAAAATAGTGAATTCAAGCTGTAACTGCTGTAACTGCAGTGACTTATGTTCATGATCTCCTCGAACAGTCCTTAGCAGGATATTCAGGTACTTGGGTTGTGTCAGGATCCCCTGGCCCGAGTTTAGCTTCCGTTCGGGACAGAACCATGAACCATGAACCACGAACCACGAACCACAACTACAACCACAATTCCAATGATGAATGAATGATATCACTGCCCATCTCTTGCAGCTCTCCACAAATTGGGTCGGCGTAGTTTAAGTTCATGCTCTTACTCTTACTCAATTCCTGGTACAAGTTCTCACTCTTACGCCTCTGCCAGTTATGCAAAAGTGATATTGATACCTTCTTGATATAATGGATATTATTCTCTCATTAAAGCCTGGAGCGAAGATTCGGGAAGATCTTTGTTAAGGTTGGTATCACTGTTCAAGAGATTCAGACTGGAGGAAGTCCTGTGCTTTGCTTTGGGATATCAAAACTTAACCAGCATGTCCGACATCGCGTTATACCTTGCTCTAATACCTAAACGCCGCTTGACTCTTTCGACGATCTCCGTTCTCCTAACCACAGATCCAACAGGATAGATAGGGAAATACAGCTTGGTGTTTCACAGCCGTAGGTGGTGCTCTAGCAAACTTGTGGCAGCGTCAATTCGGTCCGCGATAATCCCCACCCATTGCTGACATTCATTAGTCGTTGATTGAATCACGAGCATATGGAAAGGAATTCATACATGAGCCGCGGTGAAATTACCCTCTGACAGAGCATTCCCCAGCGCCGGAAAAGCGTCTGGGTTCTTATGCCATGCACTTTCGGAGAAGACCACATGTTTCGACCAGGGTTTTCCGTCCAGCCCTGGCTCGTAATAGAACATACGCTCAAAGGCAATGTACACTTGATTGATGGCGCGAATCTGATATTGTAGCCGAGAATCCGTCCAAAAATTCCACCAAGGCCGCTGCTGCTGGACACGACCCTCTAAGGCAGCAGCGTAGCCGTCAAACTGCACTGCCGCCTGATTCAGCCTGGCAATCGAATCGTGCAACAGAGTGAAATCGAAATTCGCAAATGAGGCAGGCACCTTACTGCGTGCAGCGCGGAGGTATGTCCCTAGACTGGTCGCGTAATCTGTGGTGCGCTCTGCCAGCACCGGTCTCTCAAGGAGATAGGCGGCCATCAACGACCAAATCTTGGCAGTGGCGATATGATACTTCCAGTCTGGGTCTCCAAAGGTATCCATCCAATCGACCGTATCAAACTGCGAGTGATAGGGGAAAACGGGATCGTCCAGTCCCGGAGAGAACCCCATGTCGAGCGCTGAGATACAGGCGCTACTAAGGAATTGCATGGCATCCCCGCCTCCACCTACTGTGAAATGGCTTCCCCAGACGTCGAGGACGGTCTGGCCCTCGACCGTTTGGTTTGGTGATTGGACCATTCCGGTGGCGTATATCGCCGCGCGGTGGAGCATCGGACTGGTCTTAACATGGAACTGGGTGCCGCCGGCTGCCACCACGACGTTGAGATACGCGACTGCCGTACGATTCAGCCAGGGCAAATGCTCCCGGATCCATGGACGGGACCCGACCTGTCCAAACTCCTCGCCATCAAAGCTGATGAACACAATCGTGCGTAGCGGCCGCCAGCCACGCTGTATGGCCGCGCCGAAACTACGGACGACCTCATTCAGTGCGGTCGAGCCACTATTGGGGTCTCCCGCTCCCGGTCCCCATGCATCGCGGTGGTTGCCTATAATCACAACCTCATCTGGGAGCTCCCTCCCCTGAATAGTTCCAATGACGTTGTGGACCTTGGCAGTTGTATAATTCACCCCGTTGTAAAAATTCAAGACGAGGTTCTCGGGCGAGGGACCGACATTATACTGTACGCTTCTGTTTCCTAAACGTCCCCCATGCCATCGCGGCGGTAGCTCATACGCCCTTGGACCATGACCATTCAGCGCGCGGAGGAGCGGGATTGCATCGGCGTAGGAGATAGGAATCGACGGGATAGTTACACCCGAGGCAGGGCCATTGAGATCTGACCCAGAGTCACCTGGAAGCGTTTCTTTTCTCACAGTCAGCTATTAGCTCAGTCACGGATGGTGCAAAGGATTCTGTCTCTTACCCACTTTGCCTAGCGCTCCCCTCTCAATCATAGTTTCCGGACGGGCAGGCCCATCCGGGAAAGGCTTATACCCACCATCAGGAACCACGGAGCCATCAATTTCAGGATCTGCGTATGCAATCACCCCGAGGATGCCCATTCTCTGCGCCCATTGAATCTGATTGAAGCGATTAACACTTAGTTCCTTTTTCTGAACGTACGGGGTGACCTGCGCCGACTTCACAATGGCAATCTTCCCTTCGAGACTGATTCCCGTGCGCACCAGGGTCTCGTAGTCCTCCCGCGTCCCGAAATTGGCGAAGACGTAGGAAGCGGTAACATTACCGGGCGCCGAAAACGCATGGAACGCCGGGGCAAAGAGTTCCCAACTCTGACTTTTCCCACGGTTGTTGATGGCGTGCTTCTCGACCAGGGAGGCCTCGTATAACACTTGTTCTGCGACAGGCTTGTTCAAGTCGAGGAGTGCCAGTCGCTGGCCTTCAGGATAAGAGCAATAGGCCCCATAGGGAGCAATGGTGGTGTTTACGACTCCAAACTCCTCCCATTTGCTCCGCGTCCATTCGGCTTGGCTGAGACCCTGGCCTGGCAAGTGGGATTCTGACGTATAGTAGGTACTCCATTCTCGGGCCCTGTGGCCGTGGGGAACGGAGATGAGAAGCTCGATCAGGTCATCATAAGAGAGATTAGGTCGCTTGAGCCATGGAAGTGCCGGGTGCGCTCCTAGTCGAGATGAACAGAGGGTGTGCCATGCGCCTGCAACAAGCAAGAGTAACCCTACACAGTGAGAGGCGCGATGACGGTAAAGACGTCCTGATGTTTTGAGGGTCGTGTGCTGCTGCTGCTGCTGCTTCATGGTAGACTCGTTCTATTTTCTTTAGGAAGTTGAGAACTCCGTGAGAACGTCAAGAGTGTGCACTTATTCGCGCTTGACACCCCAAAGGATCAGATTTGTCAGACTTATTCCGGTGGGACCAACTAATCCATCCACTGGTGATGGTGTATACGCAGACATGGACACATGTACGAAGTATCTGATATTATATCTAGGATTGTCTTGTACAATGAATGGCATACAATCAAACAAGAACCACGAGTCATCATCCGACGATCAACTATGATGACCCTGAAATTCGGAATCTAGGGATGGACTGATGGGCTTGGCCATCTCCCAAACCTAGCGCGTATTGTCACTTTGGTTGTTCGCCGATCTCATCCTTTGGTTGATCCGAGTTTAGTGGGCGGATAATGGTTACATTATCCATGAGCCAGTGGTCAGCACTACGAAAACGGAGCTATCAGTTCAATACTGATTATCTAGGTGTGAGAACGGCGTTTAACTACACTGGACTTGAGATGTCCATTTAGGGAGGCTGCTACTCCGCAAGTCTGGACTCAGGTATGTGGACTCTGTGTTACACCCCACCTACAGCACTCTTTTAAGACTGTAAAATATTACACGTACCGCAAGTATGCTATTGGCAGTGGTAAGAGAATTGTCTGAATGGAACTACTCGGTGTACCTCTCTCAAAAAGAAAGCCCTCAATTTACTACTAACTGATAATCAGTTGAAAGGGCGTGCGTCCCACCGTACACGACGCAAATGGCGATTGGGGTCTTTGACGTCACTGCGCGCATGTAACCATCGACGATTATCCAACAAAATAATCGAATGCTGTGGTAGTAACTCCGAATTCAGATGTACTACTTCAGTCTGGATGTGCGGTCCCAGCAGAAGGGAATTGAGGTTTTCCACGGCTGTCTTTGCACGAGCCGTCAGCGGTGTGAAAATGTCCTCCCGGAAGCGTAATTCAGGTCGCGTCCGCGTAGACAGTATAGGCCCAATGATAGAGAGTTGCTTGTCGCTTTTGATGAACTCTGGAGGAACCTGAATGCGGTATTCAGGTGCTGAGAGTGCTAGTTGGCTGGAACTGGATAGCCGACTGAGAAGGCGATCCACTTCGAGGACTGACAAGGTACCACCTCCGCATTGATCCGGGTGTAGGACGTGGAGGGCAAAGAAGCGCGGAGGGGAGGTTTCATAGCTGCAGTCTGTGTGCCAGGGGAATGTCTTCATTGTCTCTGAGCGGGCGCGATGTGGTGTCTCGCTTTCTGCTGCGGCTGTACTGGTATTTGTGGACTGGAGCGGACGTACATCCCAGAACCATCCACGAGAGGCGCTGTGGTTGATTGGTAGGCCGTGATCATGATGCTGGTGTAGGCTTTGGATTAATTGCCTCAGATAGTGGCACTGGTTGTCTGCAAACTTCAAGTTTACTTTCAAGATTCCCTGGCCGTGGAGGAAGCCGTGTACCTGGCTCACATGGGTTCTATCCTGCGAAGAGCTGAGGTGGCCAGCTTCAAGTTGGGGAATGGTGGATGGAAAGGTAGTTGAAGTAGCTGTAAGCGCTAGATTCAGAATGTCAGTTTCGGTCTCTCATCTTTTCGAAACAGCTCAACGAAAGGAGTTGTGTACATACTGGAAGGACTAGGGTTTGGCGCTTGTGAACAGGTTCGCAGCGATCGACAAAGTTGAATGGGCACCTGCCGCATGTTGACCCGTAATTCCATGATCTGAGCTATGAATGACAGAGAGCAGGGAGAGGGGCAAGAAGAAGACCCTATGGGCGCGATATTCAGCAAGGACTGAAGGTAGCCTATTAATGAGCTACGGCGGCGTGGTGACCTAACATATGTGGTCGTAACCTTCATATTTGATCGCAGTGGCTCTGTTTCGTTAACAGGCTAATGATATCACGACTGAAACGGCCATGTTGGTCCAATTATGGGATTGCACTCGTCCCATGTACGATTTAGTCACTGGCCAACGATAAGGGCGCTCATGTTTGAGGCCAGGGAAGCTTCTGAAGCATCCCGTAGTGTATAAAAGTCAACCTGGGCTACACCGCACAATAAAGCTATCTCAATGCAAGTAGATGGTTTGAAAGGCTTATGGAATGTAACTTGACTCGCTAATACGCGGCCAGATCGTAGTAGGGCACTGCGGTACGCCCTCTTGACGGAAAGGTCATCAACCACCTTTAGACCTGCCGCTTCTCCTTCGCCTCCAACACCCCCTGTGCTGCAGGTAGCTATAACCACATTGCACCTCAACACCATGGAGGAGCCATCTCCTGCACCTGCAGACCATGACAATGAGCAAACCCCGTTGCTTCGAAACTTTCAGGACCGACAATTCCACGTTCTGCCGCGCAAACAACTCCTGATCGTCTTCCCGGCCTTGGCCCTGGTCCAGTTCACCTCCTTCCTCGACCAAACCGCTATCTCGACTGCGCTGCCAGCAATCGCAGACGGTCTGCACATTGGCTCGTCGATATCCTGGGTCGGTGCCAGTTTTCTGGTTACCAGCACCAGCGTCCAATTAATCAACGGTCGGCTATCCGATATTTTTGGCCGGAAGACATGTTTGATTACTGCCTTGACCATCATGGCACTGGGAAATATTGCGTCGGGATTCTCGGTTACCCCATCGGAACTGTATGCGACCCGTGCATTCAGCGGGTTCGGCGCTGGTGCCATTAACGCTCTCGTGCAGATTGCTGTGTCTGACTACACTACCCTGGCTCAGAGAGGCTACTATTTTGGCATCATTGGTGTTGCGACAGCGTTGGGGAATGGCCTGGGACCTGTGGTGGGAGGAGCCCTGACGGAGCAGACCAGCTGGCGATGGACGTTCTGGTTTATCGGGCCCTTGGCCGGGGCTGCGGTTCTTCACATTGCTTTCGTTCTGCCACAGTCAGGCGCCAGTACTAGAGGGATCTGGAAGCAGCTCCAACTGATGGATTGGCTCGGGATGTTGACGAGTATGGTTGCGATTATACTGATCTTGGTAGTCTGGCCCTTTGCCTTGAATAAGGGTCTTGTTGACGGTCATTGGAACAGATTCCCCTGTCTCAAGGAGGTTCAGCTATCTCCTGGACGTCCCCAACGGTGATAGCAATGCTGTCTACCGGTGTGTGTCTATTCCTGGTGTTCCTTGTCATCGAATGGCGATCCATCAAACTACCCCTTCTACCACGTATGCATGTCCTGAGAATTCTGACCCTGCGAGCTAAGAGGCTGTGATTAACCTTTTCCAGTGCACCTATTCCAGTATGGCCTCTCTACCAACATTCTCCTCGCTATGAATGTCATCATCGGTTGGGTCTTCTGGTCAAATCTCTTCTACATCCCCCTCTATTTTCAGAATGTTCGGGGCTGGAGTCCAGCAACGGCAGGATCTTTGATCTTACCTATGGTCATCGCCCACGGGGCAACCTCTGCGCTGAGTGGGATCCTGGTTGCGGCAACGGGTCGCTATACCCGCATCATTAGCGGCGGAGCGGCGCTGTGGACGATTGGTGCAGTCGGCAAAACCCTGTATGGGCAGACAACACCTGTCTGGTCATTTTTCATGATTGGTATCTTTGAAGGCTTTGGTGTCGGTTGTTCTCTCCAACCAGGTAGCATTCTCTCTGTCCCATATCCCCGTGCGTGCCTCCTCAGACATACTAATAAGGCAACTTGACAGTGCTGGTTGGACTCCTGGCGGGCTCTCAAAACGCAGACCGCGCTGTGCTCACAGGTCTTCGCAACTTCATCCGTGATATTGGCGGCGCGATGGGCATTACCAGTAGGTCCTTATGTGCTCCTTTCTATTTTACATTTATTGAAATTCTTTCCGGGAAACTAAGTGATGGGCTAGTATCCGGTACAATCCTGAACAACATCCTCTACAGTGGACTAAAGGGCAAGCTCAGCCCAGAGTTGGTCTCCAAGTTGGCTTCCTCCGCATTTGCACTGCGGGGCATGGATCTATCGGATGACGATAAGCAATTGGTCTCTACTGTCTACATGCGCGGTGTTCAGGCAGTATTTGTTTCCTATGCCGTGCTTATCTCCATCTACTTACTCTGCTCTCTATTTATCGAGGACTATGGGCTTGGTGGGAAATATCCCCAAGTAAAATCCAGTGTGACTACAAACCGCGAGGAGACAGAGGAATGCTAGACTCATAACAATTGTTCATATATGTCTGGGGGAGTTTACTTCTGTATTTGATAGGTGTTAGTGTAACGTGGTTTCCTGCTGCCCTCTCTGCAGGACAGGGCTTTCCGCACTCCTATAAGTTCATATGTACAAGCAGAGTAGCAATGGCTGGAAGGCCAAAGACTATTAATATTCAAAGTGGAGATTTGTAGTGCGGACAGAGAAGAATCATCCAGTATTAGTAAACAGAAAAAGATATACAATATGGATTCCAGAGTCTACTATGATCCTCTGGGGATATTGCCCTTGTGTTTGAAAATAAAAGCTGTACGGTACACGTAGACACGTAAACAGTCCGGCCTTGAAACACGTGCGAACTCCAGTCGCATCTACCTCAATTTCCAGACTTCCACTTCCGGAGGCAGGTCGCTGATATCTCCTTCAACCGACTGAGGGAAGAAAACACTGCGTGCCTTTCGCATATCAAACTTGCCCGAATGTGTCTTGGGAACAGCTTCACTGGCATCTAACTTCCGTAAAAGAGTCGGCAATTTATGTTTCGCGAGTCTCCCGGCCATTTCCGTTCTCAGGGCTTGGAGAGTGAGACGCTTCCCTTCTTTGACACGAAGCAATACCGCAGTGCGGTTCATGACCTCTGCATCTGGGATGCCGAGTACGTAGGCTTCCATGACATATGGCAGGGCCATAAGGCTCTCCTCGACGTCTATGACGGGGACCCTCCGTCCGTCGAAAACAATAACTGGTCGATTATTTTAGTTTCATTTATATTTGCAGTTGGGCTGGGTTATAATGAAGTACGTACAGTCCTGTGTCACGCGGCCGTCGATGATGTACTGCTTACCGTCGAAATGACCCAGGTCGCCGGTCTTGTAAAAGCCATCCTTATCAAAGGCAGCGCGGGTCGCTTCAGGCTCTCCGATGTACCTAGAAGGAACCTTTAGCCGTCTCTCGTTATAGTGTCAAAATCTGGTCATACTGAGAAAAGAGAAGCGGAGTTTTAACACAGATCTCCCCGTGGTTCCCCTCTGACAGTTTCACGGATACCCCCGTTAGCGGGACACCAATAATTCTCTACACATGGTCAGTAACCAGTCTCATATCATGTAAGGTCGTCGTCTCACCTCGTCGATCTCCTCGAGAGAAACGCGCTGCTTCCCCATGGTGATGCTCGTCTCCGTAGCAGCATAGTTGATTCCAATCGACACACCGAGATCATTCCAAAAGCGCTTCACTGAGGGAGTAAGCAGATTTGAATCCGACTTTGCCAATCGTAGACCCCGTGCTCCATGGAGATATTCCTCTAACATGGGCTGTGGTAGATTGGCCAAACATTCCTCATAATACGCTTTCATCTGGGTCCACATTGCTGCCCAACAGATAAAGAACCTCACATCCCCTCGTCTTAATCTCTCCCATATACCACCTGGAGTGGCGTCGTGGTTATAAATCTCAGTGCAGACACCAGCTAAGATAGCTGCTGTGGCATTTCTGATTCCACCTCCCCAGTGGAATGAGCGGTAGGAGAGATAAACCGCATCAGGGCCGAGCAGAGTTTGGAGACCATTAGTCTCGCTCATTGGGCAGCCAAAGTATACCTCCACCTGGTGGTAGAAGAATGTCCGGGCATGTACTACACCCTTTGGGGAGCCGGTTGTGCCTGATGTGAATTGGACGAGTGCTGGACGGTCCGCTGGAAATCTGATATTCCTCTCAGTCGTGATGCGGATGTCGGCACTGCTCCCATTCTCTCCCAGCGTAATTGGGATGGGCGGGATCTCTGTACCCGACGTATCTTTTGCACTAATTTGCGTAGCTTTACCGGCACTTTGATAGTCGGGCGCAAAGGCAAATGCCCGGGCGTTGCATTTCTGAGCTATGGCAGTGATTTCCTCAGGAGCACTACCAGGCGCTAAAATCCAGAGCTTGTCCGTCAGAACCTTATATTGGACTTGAGGAGATTCGGGGAACAAACGTAGTAGAACTGCTGCTCCTCCAACTGCCAGTATGGCGAAAAGAGCAACAAGGAACTGGTAACTTGAGGGAGCAGAGAGAAGAATGAAGTTGTCATTATTCTTGATCATTCCATTTTCGTCTAAGATCTCGGTTGGTAAGACGTTAGATATCTTTAGACGATATTGGAGAATGTCTCCAAGGAACCGGACATAGTCAGCTTCGATTTTCTGGAGAGGATCACGGATGATGGGTTTATTCTCATGTGCGGCAGCATGCACAAGATGTGTAAATACAGGATCATTCGGAAGCCCTCTTGGGGAAAAGGGGGTTCTGACGGGCATGGCTACTGTCTGAATCTAGCGTTATCGTAAGAAGTAGGTTGCTGGTGAATAATAACCGATGATAACTGATCATTCGTGGGATTTAAGACAATACAACTATTAGCATCAAGCAGTCCACTACTAGGTTCTTACTGAAAGCAGCGTGAGGCTATTCTACAGAGCCATGTAACGCTGAGGGTGCGTTCAATTCCCACATACTGCCGAACTGTGAACAGAAATTTACATATATAGTGGATAAAGTAGATGTACATCTACATAGGCGCTTCCTTACTGAGTTTGAATTCCTCTAATGATCGGCGGTGTGGAATGATGCGGTTAAAGACGAGATATAAAACCTACGTACAATATGCCTATACATATACATGTAAATGACTTTGAACATACACAGCATCTAGGACAACCGGCCCTGGCCTGGCGGGGCGACCGAGCTGCAGAGAGCAAGGCAAAAAAGTCAAATGTGTTGGAGGAAGTGTCTTTCTTCCCGGAAATTCCTAGCAAACGGGAAGTTTGCTACGTGCACCGGACAATGTAACACTGCAGATTCTTAATCCATTCCAAATAACCCGCGGATGCTATTACAATTCAGTAGGCATGAGATGGGTGTTATGTAAATGCAAAGACTGCAGATAGCACCCCAGCATCCCGTAAGGTCATACTTTGTGCTGAAAAACAAGGGTGTAACCCATGTAGAGTCAATCTTAATGTGCGCCTGCAAGGGATACCGGCAATGCAAAACTATATACTAAAGGATGTGGCGTGTGGAACAGGCAAAGATGCACGTTTGCAGAAGTAAAAAGAAGGTCCAGCATCCTAATAGCTAAACTTGTGCTGCTAAGTTCGGTAGCAGCTTCTCCTTCTTATTTATGGTTTATAATGTCGTGTCTCCTTTAAGGCATGTGTTAGAGTAGTTACTGTTGCTGTCCATTGTTTCTTATTATCACAGTGCTCTAGTTGAAGGATCAATCTGCTGGAGAAACTTTACTGAGAACTTTACATAGCCTACCCTGCCATAATTCACCAATCATAACTGTCAGTCAAAACACTGAAGTAATAAAGAGCAATAAGAATATGTAGTTAACTTAATGAATGCTAGTATACTAAATGCCCTATATATGACAGGACATTGTCCTCTGTGCGAAGATAGCTGAAGTATAATAAAATATATTCTCAATATGCAACATGAAGGAGGGAACATTAGTTCATATCCTACTAGATTACACTAGAAAATTTTCAACCGGGACTTTTCCTGACTGACACTTAAACCAGTAACCATCGATCATATCTGAACTGATAGTGAGAGATACAGCTACTAACAGACAAAAAAAGTTGAAGGTTGAAATATGGCTGCCGGGTCATCCTGCTCATTAGGGACCGTCAAAAGTGGATGAAAAGCTAGCTTTAATGCTTGGCCACTAAGGCCCACCTATGACATTGCACTATTCCTTAACCAGATGCCAAGCATTTATAGCCTGGCGTGGTTTTAGACACGTAAGCTGATTGGTCAGTGGACCCTAATACGCTTACCTGTTTCGGCCAGAAATCTGTTTATTGTAAGGTATTTACCAGCTGTAACCCCGTGTTACTGTTCTGGCCAATAACAAAACCCTACACGTAATGCGTGTTAGGTAAGGGATCAGAATGTTTTGACAGAATCCCTGAAATCTATCCCTCCATTTGGCCACCAACAAAAAAGAAAAGAAAAGAAAGAGGACACGAAGAAAAATGAATAAACAGCACAACAGAAAAGGGCTAGAAAAGATAGAGGCGAAAGAAAAGAAAAGGTTCACAGTCTGATCCTCTTGGATATGCGAAGTAACTGACTCATGAATGGACTACATCACTAATTTCTCAGTTCCAGCTCAGTACAACTAGCCTTATACCGACACATAAGACTCTCTGGATCCCACTTCTCACATATTTCTACCAGGCGCGCGGTGTTGGTATTTGCCCAATAACGCGCGTCTTCTTTTTGCAGATCTGAATCGCCCAAGTATGTGCCTACTGAATGATTTTCAATCTTTCTCATTACCCTTTGGACCCAGGAATGATGCCGCTCATCATCCTTTGCATCGTCCCACACGGCGTAAATAGCAAAATAATGATCAGACCGCATACTCAAGGCCATGTCAGATAGATCTCCTCTACTCCAAGGGCTCATTGCGGACCAGAACGCAAACGATTTCCCCGGTGGAAGAGACAGAAACGCTTCTTCTAGCACAGCGACAACATCGGCACCATTCTGAACATAGGCATTATCGGTGTGGTACCGATGACCCTTTGGGTTTGCTTTTGCCTGTTTGTCGTACAGATTTCCTAAATTGTCTTCTCGACAATACCATTCAGAGAGCGTGCCTGCGGGCCGGGTTTCTTGCACAGGCCACAGAGCAGCCTCGGCCTCCTCGGGTGTGGCCTTCATGCAGACAAAATGTATAGATAGGCAAACTTGATTTTGGGCTTCGGCGTATCGGGTGCATACAGTGATTTCGGTGTCTCTGTCAAGGGTCGCGGTAATCCGAAGGGCCCAGGAAAACGCTTGCCTGTAGAGACCGCATGGGTAAATGTAGCCAGAAGATCGGAATCCGTTCTTTGGGTATGGCCTTAATTTTAGGTGAAATTTGGAGACAACCGCAGGAAATGCTGTAATGGTCCAAACTCTTCAGTAAAGAAAACTTTTGGAAAAGGTAAGGAGTTCATGGAGAGGAAAGACATACCTGGTCCTGCACCACGGGCCGCCCAATATAAGTCTCTATTCTGCTGCGCACTGCAGATTATAGGCTCCCCTTGCATGGTAATTACTTCCACAGCATCCACACTTTCGCAAGCCCAACCCCAGTTCTGAACTTAGGATACCGGGTTAGCGAGCAGAAAAGAACAAGAAAAAGGGGAAAATAAGGATGGAAAGAAGAACGAAAGAGGCGACGTACCCGACAGTTCCAACCCATTCCTCCTTGCAATAAAAACCCGCCGAGGCCAACATCGGGGCAATGACCCCCGGGAAACATCATCCCATGTTTCTCGATCAAGAAGTCATTGAGCTCCTTGCTTGTGACACCAGGAGTCACCTTTGCAATGTGGTTCCTCTCATCGACCTCCAATACCTTGAAGTCGCCGAAGTCAATGAGGATGGAATTATCATGCAAACTCCAAACGGGAAAGGAATGACCCCCTGCTCGAGTAGCAATGCGCATTTTGTGTTGTATTGCCAGCTTGACCGCAGTAACAACCTCATTCTCCGTAGTTGGCTTTACTATAGCCAGTGGAAACCGGCGTGGGCAGCGCTGGTTGAACACTCGGCTGAGACGCGCAGCTTCATAGGCTGCCATATCTGCAGACTCACGCCAGAGTATATGCATCGTGCTTCCCTTCGAGATTCTGATTGTTTTGATGATCGTACGTCTGTCCTACCTTCAAGCCTTTCAATGATGAGATGGTGGGGGCACACAAGTATGCTGCTGATGCTTAGTGATTGATCAGACTTCCAAGTAGACTTCGTACATCAGATGTTCGGCGAGCATGGGATCAAAGCCAACAAGTTGAGAGGATGAGAAGAGCTATGGAGGCCCTGTTTAAGATAGCTACCACAGAAATCCGTCGAAATTTATCATACAAGCTATTATTACACTGCAGGACGAGCAAGTTCAGAGAAACTGATGTTGTTGTTACCAATTCCGACCTGTTGTAGCAGGCGTGAAGGCTACGTATGCGGCAAGGCAAAGATTTCCTAAATTCGAGATAGAGGAGTGGTAGTAAAATGAAAGACAGTCTCGCCAGCCGATCCACGGACGGAGTAGGTGGACGGAACGGCCAAGCATTGGTGGCTTGGGAGAAGGATTGTTGGAATAGCAACCAAGGGACATCTTATCCGTGCCTTAGGCGCACCCTCACCGCTCGCGGTGAGGGTGCGCCTCACCGAATCCACCATTATCACTAAAACCACCATGTACCTTTTATATAGCATCGCCATATAAACGGTACATACTTATTATTCACTCTAGGTATGTATACATTTAGTTTTTCTAGTTTATTACTATTTAGATATATAAGTGTCTATCTTTTATTGCTATCTTTATTATTAGAAAGGAAAATTATAAGTATTTAAGATAAAATAATCTCTCTTTATTTTTTTCCCTAAGAAAGAGTTTCCTAGAGAGAAATTTTATACATTCTTATATCTCTAATTTTTGGTTAAAACTCTTGAAAAGCTTTTAATTATAAGATATTTCCTCTTGATATTTTAATATTACTATTAAAAATATAGCTGTCCCTAGTGAATACCTAAGATATTAGACTTAGGGAGTATGTACCTTTTATATGGTGATGCTATATAAAAGGTACATGGTGGATTCGGTGATAATGGTGGATTCAGTGAGGCACACCCACACCGGGAACCGGTGTGGGTGTGCTTGACACGGATACATGCCTGTCTCCGGAGCAGATCTCCGCTGCATACGGTGTAGCATGGGTTCTATGACCTAAACTAGCCGTGCCAGCCCCAAGGAATGGTCGGCGCAATGAAACCGTGTCAGCGGGCAATTATAAGTATTTCTAATGACGAACACAATCTTTTTATGCTTTGCAATATTTTTTATGCTGCTACCATGTCCATCCCATTCTTTTGCCTAGTTGGAAGGTTTCCGAGTATCCTTGGCCAGCGGGGCCAAGGCAAGGATGCAACCCTCATTGACTTCAGAACATGAGAATGACATAAACAGTTAGAGACGGAGGGGTCTTTATTCGAGCTAAAGTAAGAGGAGGAAAAGGACATTCCCTGAGGGAACTGAAACAAAATATGCAGATGGTGCTCTAGACTGCTCTCACTTTTCTGTTTTGTTCTTCATTTCCTTTTCTGTCACTACAAAGAATATGTTATACACTGAGACACAATTGTTGGCGGATGCCCAGACTTCATCTGAGGCACTAATTTAAACAATATATCTGTCTACCTCGTTGGCCAATGACTCTTAACTTTGTCCTGTAATCCAGTCCTCTGCAATAACCCACATATTGCTTGGTTTGCAGCCTTGATGATTTCCTCTTCGTCCATAGTCAGTAGCTTCCCGCCCTCCACCACTATACGACCATCAACTACTACAACATGTACATCTCGCCCCGTCGCCGCATATACAACGTTGCTGACGGGGTTCACACATGGCTGTAATGCCGTCTTCTGTACATTGAGAGCCACGAAGTCTGCTCTTTTTCCGATCTCTAGACTGCCAATGAGATGATGTAACCCCAACGCTTTGGCCCCATTGATTGTGGCCATCTCCAGTACTGTTTCTGCAGGGATCCTAGCAGCTTCACCCGGTGTGTTATGCACCATAGCAGTCCATTTCATTTCCTGGAACATGTCGGACGTATTATTGCAGGGATTCCCATCGGTGCCAAGACTGACATTGAGCCCTGCCGCCAATAAATCGGGGACTGGGCAAATTCCCGAAGCAAGTTTGGAGTTTGACGTCGGGCAGTGAGAGATGTGAGCCCCAGACGACGAAAGCAACGGCACGTCAGAAGTCTTATTGATATAAACCGCGTGAGCAAAGACAGTTGACGGGGACAACAGGCCGACTGCCTGAGCGTACGATCCAGCGGTGTGGCCTATAGAGGAGAAATAATGGGCATCGCCTTTACATTCGGCAAGATGCATAGTCACTGGGATGCCGTATGAATGTGCAGCGGTGCTCAGCTTTTGCATCTGGGTTTCAACGACGCTGTGTCCCGTTACTATGTGGGCAGCCTTGGCCAGTCTGGTGATGTCTCAACGAACAAATCTGGATTGCCCGCCGCAAACCATACTCGGATGCGGTCATTTGCCATCCCGTTCCATTTATGCCATAACTTCAAGCTTTCTGGAAGCATTCCATCACCAGGAGGGATCTGTCCGGCAGGCGGTCGACCTTCCACCGAAACGCGGCCTAGGCAGGCTCGAATCCCACTGTCCTGCACAGTCTGACATAGTCCATCGAATTCATGGGAGCGAAAGAACTAGTAGTTTAGATTGCGTCAGTCCGGAATGACACCATGGCTGGGAATTCGAGCTTGGAGGTGACTTACTAGACATTCCAAGAAACAAGTAGTCCCAGACTTCAGCATCTCCGCGACGGCCAATTTCACAGATGCCTGAGCCTCTCCGTTGGTCATGCTTTTCTGGAGTGGTTGGATTCGTTCTGAGAGCCATGTCCCCTTATGTAGACCATCAGCTGTGCCCCGTAGTATTGCCTGGACGGTATGGACGTGCGTGGAAACCAGTCCTGGAACCACAATGCAACCATTAAGACTATACTGTCTTTCAAGAGGGTACCGTGCAAGTAGACAATCGGTTTTACCAATATCCGCAATGGTGTCCTTATCGACATAGATAGCGCCGTCTTCAATAATGTGTCGAGCTGCATCAACCGTGATGATAGTTGCGTGAGTATACAACATTTTGTCCTGGGAGGCGCAAGACTAGGAACAAGGCGTGAAGCACGGATGCGAAGGTCCCGAGCTACTGATGAAAGATTGGCAGCTTAGGCTAGTAGGTCTGTTGGAGTAAAGCGAAGCAAAATGGGGAACATCAAGTCATCAAATGCGAAGATGTACCATTGAAGTGATGAAGGATTCCAGTAATCGCGAGCCTGGAAACCGACATAGAAATCAGCAGTTCGAGTCCCACCAGCCAACCTGGATTTATGGAACCCATTGATCTTCCGTCGTTGGGGCAAACTGATAAATGAATCTGCCACCTTAGCATGGCACCGTCGAGTACGTTTGCGGCAGTCTATGTGCTATCCGGACACCACATCTTTAGTGCTTAACCAAAGGCGGTACATATTTGGATTTTTAGCAGCTAGATAGTATTATATATGAGAAGTTCTCAGTATTTCGTCTATATAATATTCATACTGTGGGTTCTATCCCACGTATGCAAGGCGTTGCATTGCATTCCTTCCCACCATCAGATCTTAGGACCCAACCCCAGCCCCTGGCGTGCGACAAAGACCTCGATAGTGAAGATGGAAGCCTTTTAGGATTGCATCAGAGCTATTTAGTGTATCGGTTTTGAACAATTAGACACCATGGATGAACGGAACTTGCCCTTATCTTGGGCCATGCTGCCTTTCTTACTCCTCGCAATCAGTATTACAAATGAAAGTCACCCATGAACCTGCCTTGGTGCTTCCTCGAAGTGACTGTTATACTCTGTGTATCTCACTAACACAAAGCAGGTAATTATTCAGCGATGGAATGGGCCTTTATCTTGTTTGCCAGGGCCATGGATCTCCAGAATTACAGATATTATTCTGACGTATCACTGGCTTACCGGAAACCGAGCCAAATATGTACATTCACTTCATGAAAAATACGGTTAGCTAGCAGTCCGGACTTCCCAGCCAGCTATGATTTGGAAAACGAAACAACTAGAGAATGCGACTGACTGTTTTATTCGGATCTTCAGGCCCAGTCGTTCGCGTTGGCCCCAACGAGGTTGATATCAGCGACCATACCGCCGCGAAGGAGATTCATAGGGTCGGAAGCAACTTCATGAAATCAGAGTTCTATCGCCACTTAACTCGATATGACATCCAGAATTTGTTCAACTCGAGTGATCCTAAATTCCACGGCGAGCGACGAAGACTGCTCTCGTCACCCCTGTCCGCCTCGTCCTTGAGACGGATGGAGCCCTTGATCGAAACACGTGTCCGCCTCGCTATTCGCAGGATTCAGGAAGAAATGGAAGCAAGGGGTACGGTTGACGTGTATAAGTGGTGGATCTTTATGGCCACTGATGTTATTGGGCAATTGTGTTTTGGAGATTCCTTTCATATGTTGGAACATGGAAAGGTAAGTGGTTAGTCGACTTACTGTAGAGCACTGGTTGTTAACCTATAGCAGAAGAACCAGTATTCTATGGACCTCGAATCAGTGTCCGCCATGGAAGCAGTTAGGGTTGCCTTCCCACGCATGGTCAGCCTAGCCAGCGTGTTCCCGTTACCAATCTTCCGGAATTCTGCTGAAGCCGGACATCGCATGGAGCAATATGCGAATCAGTCAGTCCAGCGTTATAAGAAGTTGATCGCCACTGACCCAAACCCGAAGCCAATACTCTTTGCGCGATTATTTGGAGGCGGAAATGAAGGCCTTCCTGAAGCCGAGATCGTCAACGAGGCCATTAGCTTTATCATTGCTGGGAGCGATACCACGGCAACTACCATGACCTACCTTGTGTGGGAGGTCTGTCGGAACCCTCATATCAAAAGAACTTTGTTAACAGAGCTGTCTGGTGTCCAAGAGCATTATCATCATGATGATCTCAGGCTATTGCCATATCTGAACCAGGTCATCACGGAGACCTTGCGTCTTTATACAGGTGTTCCGTCTGGGCTGCCTCGTGTCTCACAACATGGAGCTACGCTCTGTGGATATTGGATTCCAGCTGGCGTGACTGTCACCACACAGGCGTATAGTGTTCACAGGAATCCTAGCATTTTCACTAATCCAGAGAGGTAAGCGATACCATTGCATAGTTGATATACTTTACTGTGCTAGCCTAGTATCGGAGAGGCTAATGATAGCAGATTCGATCCATCCCGCTGGGAGAACCCTACTAAGGAGATGAAAGATGCATTCATGCCTTTTGGTGGCGGCTCTCGCTCCTGTATCGGTATGCATCTGGCGCAAGCTGAGCTCCGGCTTGCAACTGCTGAGTTCTTCCGCGCGTTTCCTAAGGCAAGTGTTCCAACCTTGGAAGGCATGGACGCGGAGGATATGGACCAGGTAGCTTATTTCCTAATGTCGCCGAAAAATAAGCGCTGTTTGCTACAGGCGTGGTAGACACTGTGGATCGGTATATTCTAGCAATATTCAAACATTACAGATAATGAATCCAATGTGTTAGTAATTAGGCGTCCAGTGTCATTAAGCAGTTGAACGGTAATTACTTTGCGAGAATGCAGAGTAAGTTATTCCTAGAGACTGTTTGGCTAAACTGCTGCAAGATATTGAAGACCTCACAAAAGAAAATGGGAGGCAGTGGAACGCCGAGCCGGGGACATATTCACTTATCCCCACAGTTCACTTTGCAATGATAGTGCATTCTCTAGGGACCCAGGATTAGTTTCATCTCAGCGGGTCCTGCCTCTATTGGAAGACAGAAATAGCCTATAACATGACAAATAAGAGGTGGTGACAAAGTTACAGCGCCCTAACCCAGCTGAAGGACGCAACCGGAGAAATGCCCACTATGCTAGTTAACCATGTAGCAGTCTTCGAACCGACCAGACAAAGACCGCACTCTATACAAAGTGTCCACGTCAATGACCTTGGTCAGAGTCGTATACGGAGCTGCTCTCTCGGGGACTACCCTCTTTCTAAATGCATACGTCGGACTGAATATAAGAGACACTACTATCCAACTCCACGTACGGTCTTGCGTATATCGAGACCAGGGACCGAAGCATTGAACTAATCTGTCCGAGGATCACACCCTTGTACGAAATTAGAAATGGCGATTTCAGAGTCAGAAGTCATTGTTGGTTCTCACCAGGAGCCCATGACAGCTCTATCCCTCGAGAAGCCAGCCTTGGCGGAAACAGCCATCGCTATGGACGCCGATGGCGACGTGGCAGGCATTAACAGTCCTGACGATAGAGGTAAGGAAGGGTCCTTTCACTCGGCGTTCCGAAAGGTTAACATGGGAAAAGGAACCGTCCTCGCCGCCAAGATCGTGGACCGGGAGAAACAGCTGGCCGCCAATATACGAAACATCCTCAGAAACGTTGGAGAAGATCCAAACAGAGAGGGTCTTCTCAGAACCCCCGAACGGTACGCTAGAGCCATGCTCTTTTTTACCAAAGGCTACGACGAATGTGCATGGCATATCGCCAAGGACGCCATCTTTAATGTAGACCACAGTGAGATGGTTCTGGTCCGCGATATCGAGGTATTTAGCATGTGCGAGCACCATCTGATCCCCTTCATGGGGAAGGTAGGCAATCCTTTGAACTGAAAACAGTTTGCTTGAGCGACAAGTAACCATGTGCGACAGGTCCATATTGCGTACATGCCCAGCGGTCGTGTATTGGGTTTGTCGAAGCTGGCTCGAATTGCAGAGGTTTACGCGCGCAGACTGCAGGTCCAAGAACGTCTGACGCAGCAGATTGCCCAGGCAGTCGATGATATTCTGAAGCCCCAAGGGGTTGTCGTTGTAATGGAATCTGCCCATATGTGCATGGTTATGCGAGGCATACAAAAAACCAGCTCCATGACTACGACTGCCTGCAGGACCGGTATTTTCAAGAAGAACAAAGATGTTGAGGAACAATTTCAGTTCCTTCTCAAACTGAGACAAAGTCCATAGGGGGATGGATTTTATTGTTTGTGTGTGGTACAAACTGTCCATGTTGAGAAATCCTATATTATTACCCTCGGTGGCTAGCGAGATGGGGCAGTATGAAGCCAACATAGGTCAGGGATACATTTTCGTCAGTAGACTCTAATTTAAGTTTTATTTCCCCCATAATTCTCGACCTTATCCTTCTAGATTATGTAGTGCAGTTGCAGCAAATCCCTGGCTTCGAGTCGCCCGTGATCGTCTACTGTAAGAGCAGCTGCCATTGGGAACCTGGAACGCATCTGCCACGAAAGCCTCAGATCATTGGCTGTTGCACATTCTCTGACATGTACATAATTGAAGTATTACAAATATACGCATGCGGTCTTGGATTATCAGTGGGGCATTTGTTGCTACAGAATGGCGTAACTGCAACATGACCTCCTTGCATAAAGTCCGACATAGGTTATGGAGTGATTGACAAATTGAAATCAAAAGCAGTAACGCGATTGATTATTACAAAGCTTTCCTTGAAGATTTCACAATGACTTCCGAAGACGCTGTTTTGTGGATCACAATCATATGTGCTGAGCTATCTCAGTGACGTTACACCCTAGGCTACCCTTTGCTTTCATGAAGGATACGATGCGCAGGATTAAGGGTCAGCCCGGATTAAGAGTGTGGTCTCTAAGATAGAGTAGTCGCATGGGACATCGGAATGGCACCTGGCGTTGCTTTTGTTGAAGAAACTGGCGCCGAACTCCCTTTCTGTGTGTTGTGACTCCCTAAGTATGGCCTGTTCCGCCGCGCCCTATATCCAAGCTACAGAATGGCGCTGTGATTTGTCTCTGATCTCACCGATTCTTTCTCTGCCTCTCCTCCGCACATCTTAGCAAACGTGGCATCATGGGCGAATGCAGAACCATTATCCAGATCCCACCAGCACCAGAGCTGGTGGACCACATTTGTCTTCGCAGTGTTGAGCTCCCTTTGCCTTCTGGCCCGGACGCATGGCACCGGTTGGGGCGGAGGCAACCATGTGCCATGTCGCTCAAGCTATCCTGGTCCTCCGTATCTGCCTCAGCCCAAGAGGACGAGGTCGCCTTGTCTCTGGATTACGGAAAGCTCTATCAACGCATCGAGGAGCTCGTCCAGGAATGGCCGAATTTACGGGAAGGGCTAGAAAATCAGATCCCAGTCGTCAACCTTCATGGGCAACCCGTGCACGGGTCGCTGCACATTGAACGAGGACAAGATATCTCCCTTCTTGCTGGGAAAATTGCTAGCCTGGCTCTGGCATATCTGCATGAACGCAGTCTGGTCATAAATGACATACGGCCGGGGGCTGTGCAGCAAAACTTTGGGCAGTGTGAAGTCCGCCTATATCTTCCAAAGGCTCTCCTACGCGCGGAGGGTGGCCTTCTGCACCACAGTCTCCATGCGCTGGGATACAATCATGCGGATGCTGTCGCAGCGGTCGTGATAGAAGAGGGTTTCCGGATCCAAAATATTCGCTGCCATTGCATTATAGGTGTCAACGCGCACGAAAGACTCGAGAAGCAGGCTGTTGTGGTATCCCTAGAAATCAAGGGCCGAGGAAATGATCATTGGAGAGAGAAGTTTCTGAACATATATCAAGAGATGACTAGGGTTGTTGCTGAGGTATGATGATATCGGCTCATACTCTGTTGAAATAGAAACTAACAGGAACACTATTCAAGGAGGTGGACAAGACCACGTTCAAATCAGTGGAGGCTCTAGTTGTCTTTATTGCTCGTCTTGTCACGGTGGATTTCGGCAATGAACTGGTGACAGTGCGCGCAGAGAAACCCAACGCGTTAGCATTCGCGGAGGGGACTGGAGTGGAAATTACTCGCTCGCGAGAGTTCTTTGGTTGAGGTATGGTTATTTACAGGAACTGTCTTTCGGCAAAAATAGATAAAGGGAACAATGAACAGTTAACACCTAGCTTTCGCTACTCCTACTTTTGGCAGCTAATTGGGAAAATTTCTGGAAAAGACCATCACGAAGAGGCTGGAATACCACTTTCGGGCACCCTTGACTCGCTCCACTATTGGAAAAGTGAACAATATTGTGGTAAGGACACGCTAGAGTGGTGTAGAGGCGCAGGCCAGTCTGAGGTAGCCTAAATTGCAGGCTACATATAATCAGCCTTGTAGACCGCCGTTCATGTTCGTATACGTGGCGTAGAACCGCAATATTGAGGGAGTAAATCAACCCGAAAAGCTGAGACTTACTAGGAAACTCCACAAGACGACTCTCAAATGTACCAGCTTCATGCAACTTTTACCAAGAGAGGAATACCTTGACCAGTGACACCGGCACTGCCCGCAGTGTCTGACGGATGCAGTAAGACATCCGTGTCGTAGCATCATACTAAGTCTATTTTCCAACATGCTTCCAGTGGCTGCGTGAGCGCAGTATATGTCAAAGTACCACGCTCTTCTTCCTTGCACTCTCGGTCCACAAGTGACAGACCCAAAAAGTCTGCATTCGTGAGTACAGCTAGGACACTTTCCTTTTACCGGACCTGGCAATGCCACCATTGTTCTGTGGCATGACCCGTCCTTCTGCTCGCTGCGGGTAGCATCTGTCGACCTTATAGTTTACATTTGGGAGCACTATACGACAGGGCTTTTTCAACTGTATGAGCCTGTACAAGATTTCCCTCATTTCTCTCTAGTTACGGTGAAGATTCGGGCTCCATTTTGGGTTTGGGTCCGATTCCCCGGCCGGGAGCTTGTTACATTGCACCTGTACATTGCTCCACCTACCTTAGTCTCTTGGATATGTACGTATATTACCCGCTGTCGACCGTAAGAAACATTTGCCAGGTCTCATTTTTTGGCCATCGAATAAGTCAGTCACCTTCTAGAACAGCAATAAGATACGGATCTCCTAACAGTGTGATTCCACCTCCATAATGGGATCGCTTACATCCTGGACCGTGAATCCCCTTGAGAGGAAGTCGAAGGAGAAATGGAACGTGAGTGATCCGAGTAGACAATTTGTCTAATCACACTAATGCCAATCAAGTTTGGAGCCACTGTAACTGGCGTTGACCTGAACAACATCCCTTGTGAGTCTTACGGCCTTCATTCGAGTCAAATCTAATATAATGAAAACCAGCCGATGATATCAAAATCCTCAGGGATGAGGTGTGGCGTCACAAAGTGGTTATCATAAAGGACCAGCACAAACTTGACCCCAAGAAACAATGGGATTTGATCAGAAGCCTCGATCCGGAAACCACTGACGAGGGAAAAGGCTCAAATGACCATCGCAATGGGTTGCTCACTGTAAGTAATCTCTGCCTAATGCGTGTCGTACAGAATTGATAGATATAATATAGCGAGCAAGATGTATCCCTGGAGCCGGAAATGTTCGTGTCTTTGGCAAGGGATATCTGGGCGAGGATCATCACGGCTACAAGAACCTGACACTTGACCGATTCCTCAACCATCAGTGGCATATCTCGCCGCCATCGAAGGAAGCCTTTGAGAGTGGACTCACTCGGTTCCAGCGGTGGCACTTCGATGCGCCACTGTACGGGGATGAGCCGACGTGGTTTACATGTCTTCATATTGTCAAACAGCCTAGAGGACCGGATCTTACAGTTGAATGGGCTGATGGGTCTGGTCTTACCATGAAGATACCGCCTGGACGGACTGCTTTCTTCAGCTCGGTGCAGCTATATGACATGCTAAGTTTGGAAGAGAAGAACCTGGTCGATCATAGCTGGGTGGAGTATGCACCTCATCCATTCAAGTGGATTCAACATTGCAAGAGCCAAAATACCGGTCTTGGTATTGTGGGTGGTGGTCATCTTCCCGAGGAGGAGCTTGAAAACTACGATCCCACTGCAGTAAAGAGGGTACGGTTTACACCATCTCGATGTTTATTCTGATTCTCGGTGTCGCTGACTGGGAACACAGTACCCCATGGTATGGGTCAATAGTCTTACTGGGGAAAGAGCCTTCCAGGTTCACGGCATCTGTGTCCGGAAGCTCTACCTGCGCAACTCACTGGATGAGCAACCTCGTATCGTTGAGGATATCACGGAAATCCAAGACTTTGTTCTAGGCATCCAAAATCGGATTCTCAAGCCTGAATATATCTTGCCTGCGCCGGCCGAGGAAGGAGACCTGGTTATTTGGGATAATTATAGCCTCTTCCACACTGCTATCGATTATCCTGAGAGGTACGGGCCCAAAGCCTTCCATAAAGCGGATTCCGGGGGCAGCGCTGGTCCAAAGGGTCCTGTACAGATCCCCATGTCTGAGTAGCCTGGCTACTGTTGTAGACAGTTTTTAGCTGGAATCAGTCAGGGATATGCGTTAACATATCAGCTTTGGTTGTTCCTATAATACCCAGTTCTCATCAAGGCACCAGAAGGGATAGCTCTACTCTATATTAATTATCAACTCTCCAGCTATGTCAAGCAATTCCCTGAATTTTACATTTGTCTAGGACATGGAAGAATAACCCTGGACGTAAATAAATGGTAAACCCGCAATCCAGAACGGAAAGCATATCAATCCCTGTCTGAGCATTCCTATGTCGTGGTCGCTCTCTTGGTGACAGCTTTGGAACCCATTATGCGCTGCGCTAGCCAGTGGAATGCTCACATCGCCCGTTCTGTTGCGGTGCTACTACCTGAAGGTCGTACTTTCAACACAACCCTCCCTGCCCTTACAGCAACATGAGCTTAGGTTTAGTAATTCTAGCTCGACTATCTGCGGAAAATGCTACGGCTCCGCCGTTAGAGCTTCAGGTGGAAAGAAATTTGTCAGAACCAACTCTATCTCAATCCGACATGGGATTGCATATGCAGACGAATGCGGCAGACGCACTCTTACAAGCAATTTCCCCGTTTTCTATTTGCGTCTCGCAACGTTGCAGGGCCACTGATAGCTTGGAGGCCTTCGATTGGGAAGAACAGCCACTCGCTTGAGTGTAATGACGTTCTTTCGGCTGCAATGTAACGTTATCTAGTACCGATGGCAGTAACCAACTGTATGTTATCCAGCCTGGCCTGAATGCCACTACATGGGATAGTCCTTTCCTGGATATTTAAATGACTTCTACTGTGCCCTGGTTGGGGTAGATTCAATCAACCGACACTTTCAGTCAGCTTATATCACTTCCTCTTATCTCATAATGGTTGTGATTGCCCCGGGCTACACTTCGGTGCCTTACTATCCGGCACATGACACATGGGCCGCTAAGTATCACCGTAAGAAGGATGATAATGCAGCGCTCCCTCATGGATTTCCTCGCCAGTTGAGCGGAAAGCTGGTCTGGGATGGGGAGGACCTCTCACTTGCGGAGCATACGAGTGATGATGGCACCGAGTGTGTGTTAAAGCTCAACGATTCGCAGCTAGCAGAGATTGATGCTGCCCTGAGACATTTCCAAGGTAAAGCCATCGATCTATACTCTGCCCAAATTCCCAGTAGCTAAAGACGGCGGACTTGATAGGACTGGGAAAGCCTATGGATCAGCTTAATCCAGAAACATTTCCTCTCCCATCCGTACATCACGTTCTTCGTGCTGTTTCAGACAATCTTCACAAAGGCTATGGCTTTACAATGATTCGCGGCATACCAGTCGACAACTACAACGCCGAGGAAAATATGATTATCTACGTTGGGGTATCCTCTCATATTGCTCCTGTGCGCGGAAGACAGAATTCCTATTTTAACCAGACCTCAGAAGATGTGATGGTCACCCACATAACAAATTATCTCCAGTCTAAGGACGATGACAGAATTCTGCCAGCTGGGCATACAGACAGGGAGATAACCTTCCACAGTGACATTGGTGATATCGTCTCCCTGTATGCTCTGGACGAGCCAGTCACTGGAGGCGAGAGTCTCCTGGCTAGCACCTGGAGATTGTACAACGAAATAGCCAAAACTCGGCCAGACTTGGTCCGGGTACTGGCGGACAACTGGCCTATGCCAATGTATGTTTACGTGCCTGCCGGAACCCTGGAAGAGACTTACTTACTCCTTTTCAGTGGAACGGACTACTCGGTTCAGCGGCCCTTGCTGTACTATCTGCCGCCCAATGGTCATGACCAGGAGAGGATTACCGTTCAGTACTCGCGACGACCATTTTCCGAGATCAGACCGAAATCGTGGCCAATCACTCTCACTGAGGAGCAGGTCGAGGCGCTAGATACGATTCAATTCCTTTGCGAGAAACTAGCGGTCTCTATACATATCAGGAAAGGGGACATACAGTTCATTAATAACATGAGCGTTCTCCATGGTCGAATGGGTTATGAAGATGGCCCAAAGCAGCGGTGAGCACGCAGCTTCATCCAAATACGCATATTTGTTGTTGGTAGTTCCACTGACGATTGACTAGTCGCCATCTTATTCGGCTATGGCTGCGCGACCCAGAGAATGCCTGGGCGACTCCGAGCCAGTTGCAAAGTCGCTGGGACAAATTATACCATTCCAAACACTCAAACGGACCTCAAGCCTACCCGTTGGAGCCCCCGCTGCATTAGGCTGCGCGGTCCAGAGGGAAGTCTGACCGGTGTTAGATTTTCAAAAGGCCACTATGCAAATTCTCTTTTGGTCGTACCTGGCAGTGAGATAGTGGCTCGTGGCTTATATCAGAGTACCGTTTTTACCATTCCCTGTCTGCCACTGTAATCATGTCATCTGTTGCGAAATGTCCCCAGTGGCATGAAATGCATCTTAACTAAAAAGGTGTAGACAACCGTTCCACTGTAGTAGAAATAGTAGTGTAGTAATGGTGATATCTTAATCATTATACACAGACCATATGTTCTAGTTCTTAAAGCATTATGTGAATAGAACTGTTCACAAAATACTTATAATAAGGTACAGGTATAATGCCTGTAGTCCAGACTCTGGACTACGATCCATACCTTCAGCCAGTGATAACATGCAGATTAGTACGGCCTGCATTCTGTATATACGGCCATGAGATACTTATCAATGGACGGGTTTAAAAGTCGAATGATGACATTGATGATTGTATCTCACAATTTTGCCCTGGTTCCCTTCTGGATGTATGCATACCCACTTATAAATTTTACAAGTCTCAAAATGGAACTGTATCGAGAGGGTACGCACGACGATTCAAACACAAACATCTATTTCCGAGTCCATAATCGCGTCAATGATTTATATAAAACTCTCGAAAATACTTTTGACTATCAGATAATGATATCAGGCGAAAGTGGAGAAAGGCTCCAACATGCTCCATGAAAAGATCTTGAGGACTGGGATTCTCAAGAGATTGCAACAAACGAAAACCATATATATCCACACCTCGCAAACTTGAAAACAATCAACAAAGGACGAAGTATATCTCGCAAGGGCCCTTCGAGCTGTGTCACTGTTCGGTAGATGCTTCAGTAGACTTTACCATCAAGTATTATCTGGCCGCCAGTATGGAGGATCTGAGCAGGATTATGGACTGCTTGGATTCAACAGCGAATCCCCTCAAGATGGAGCAAAGACTCACGCAAATCTATTTGAATGCAGCCCAAAACATTATAGATATAGCTTCTTGAGTATCAAAACTCTGGCTACAAGCAGTCTTTGTAATACAACTGCAGTTCAGGATGGACAAGAACGAACTTTGGAATTGATGTCATAACGTAATCTTCATTATGTCGACATCTCCCCCAGCGAATGTGCTATTATCCCGTCATTGTGGAGGTATAAAGCTGGAGGGTATGTACTCTATCCTCGTATCTCGTCTCTACGACTCTCCCTGGCAGAACCATGACCAGATGATTTGGGGATCTCGTATGGATGGAATCCAGGCAGCATAATTGAATATGGACAATTCACCCGAAAGCCTGTGCCGATCATGTTTCAGCCAGCAGTGCTCCAGGATAAGACACTGAGACAAATACGTTCAAAGCTTGCCAGGTGATCAGTTCCCGCGGATCCCGGACATATTAAGGGTGGGCAAATATGACCGGGGATTGAGCAGCCCCTTGGCCGTGAATATTGCATATTGAACATGCTTATTACTCTTCCTGCCTGAACATGGCAGCCTAGAGAGTTTGATTGCTATCAGACAAGGGGCCGTTGAACATGAATGCTCTAGGTATACCTTATTGCGGCATGACAAGTCAGACAAAAGGAAAGCCGTCGATTTGGGATAAAAAGTCTAGCACCAGACCCACAATGACATGAAATATAGGATAGGTTTATTCTGTCGCTAAGCATAGAGTGGAACCTGCCAAACCGGTGAAAAAGGTTGCTTGCTCTCAAAGAAAAGATGCTATAAATACGGATCATTCCTCTCCACAGAGAAATTACTGTTGGTCTTCGCCCAGCCTCTCAATATGACACAAAAGCACCCCGAGTCGCCTCCTTTCCTCGACTTCATTGTAACACCAGAGACATCGCAAACATTTCCGAAGAACCACTGTGGAGTTCGGGTTACAAGAGTAAGTAATTGTTGCAATTCTGGAAGGCCTAATTGCCTTGAATTGCAGGACTAACACACTTCTACTATAGTCTCCCGCCATTAAAAACCCCCTTTACCTGCAGATGGTGCCGGAAGTGATTCATGGTCCAATGTCCTCCTCGTCATCCTTCTGATAGCAGTGCCATGGCTCATTTCCTCTCAAATAGGCGGTGGCCTAGTCTTGGCTCTCTTTGTCGCGATAGTCACTGCAGTCCCGATTCTCATGGGATACTGGAGCATCTTCTCCGCCACATCCCCTCGTCTTAATGAGAAGGTCAAGGTGCCAGGTCGTCCAGTGGAAGATTATCTCCACTTTCATAAGGAGAGTGATCGCCTCAGATATCGTGGTCGAAGAAGGATTGCAATGGAAGTGTTCTATGAAATGTACTTTCGCGGCGACGTGGAGTTCAAACAAGGGGATTGTTTGGACAACCTCGAGTACCGTCATGATTGGGCCTCGTTTAGCTTTTCCTGGGGCGTATTCAGGCACTTTTTGTTTGGTTTTATACCGGAATTGATTGTCCATTCTCGCTCTCAAGGTAACTCTCAACATCAATTTCTATGAGACCATTCCCTGCTCCTCTTCCAGCAGCAGAACTAGTCAAGTATGTGCAGCTAATCCGAAGGTAGATGAGGAACAGGTAGGCGGCAACTATGATCGTGGCGACGACTTCTACGCATGGTTCCTTGGCCCTCGTATGGTGTATACTTCAGGTATCATCAGCGATGTTGACAAGGAGGAGTCACTCGAGAAGCTTCAAGACAACAAGTTAGCTGTTGTATGCGAGAAGATCGGATTGAAACCAGGGAATTCTATGCTGGATATTGGCTGCGGTTGGGGAGCCCTGGCTACTTTCGCGAGCGTCCACTACAATGCCCATGTCACCGGCGTCACTCTGGGTCGCAATCAAACGAAATGGGGCAACACGACCCTTCGAAATGCCGGCATAGCGGAGTCACAAAGCCGAACCCTCCGCATGGACTATCGCGACTGTCCCCGGATACCTGGGGGATACAAGAAAATCACTAGCCTTGGGATGTCGGAGCATGTGGGTGTCCGCCATTTTCGTGGCTTCCTGCGTCAAGTCTATGACATGTTAGATGACGATGGTGTCTTCTAACTGCAATATTCAGGCCTACGAAAGTATTGGCAATATGAAGATTTGATATGGGGGCTCTTTATGAACAAATATGTCTTCCCCGGAGCAGATGCAAGTACTCCCCTGGGTTGGCTTATTGATCAGCTTGAGGCTGCTGGTTTTGAAGTGAAAAATATCGACACCGTTGGTGTCCATTATTCTGATACGCTCTGGCGTTGGTATCGCAACTGGCTGGCCAACCGTGAGAACGTCATGGACAAATATGGTGCCAAGTGGTATCGGGTGAGCATTCACTCTCCTATTTCTGAAAGTGGGCTCTAATATACTCTAGATCTGGGAGTTTTTCCTTTCATGGGCAACCATTGTCTCTTGCCAAGGGGGAGCAGCGTGCTATCAGATCGTTCTCGTCAAGAATCTCAACTCTACCCATCGGGTGGAGGGAGTGTCCACCCAGTTTGGCATTTCCGGTTCAATCAAGTCGGCGTTTCAGAGGAGCGGTGCTGTACTCAGTGCCTATATTCCGTGATCGATGACTCGTTGGACCCAAGGACTCTTCGGAGGGGAATGTTCGGCCCGACCTTTGAGGGGATATCCGCACGAGTAGGCTGGTGCATACTTGCGCGCAGTACCGGGAGGAATATTATATTGGATGCCTTACCTCAAGGAAAGGAGTTTCTCATGTTTCACATTTTGTAAATACTATCTGAATATAGCCTCAGTGGGGTTGTTCCCTGCCGAAGCCTTCTTCTGCTTGCCTTCGTCTCCCCTTTACTCTGCCTGCCACGAGTGCTCCCATCCAAGCAATCCTATTTGCTGGCAAATCACTTTGATAAACCTCCCGACCCTGTGAGTACCGCTCACATCATCGAACTATCATCTCGAACTATCATCTAGGGTTTGACGGGTCCGCGGTTGCCCTCGAAACCCATTGAACCGCTGATTTTAGCGTAAGCTCTCCCATTTCTAGACCCTGTATTATGGTCAAGCAATATAATCCGAGGTGTCTTTTCGGGACCAGCGCGCCCCGGATAGAAGGGCCCCTTACCACATGACCTTGCACGCGGGTCTCTCATCAATAGCCTCGCAGCCGCGGCTTGCCATGGAGCCGTAAGCGGATCCGGTCGGTAGCTTCGAAGCGCATCTCACGCTGCTTGGGAATTTGGCCGCGATGGCTAGAAGGTTGCGCAGAATGGAAGCTGTCTGCTTTCCGGATTCGACCCTACAGAGGGGAATCACGGCGAGTTTGAGGTATATATAACTCCGAGTTCGACTCCTATGAAAAGATGCAATTGACACCGCTTCTCTCAGGATCCTTTCAGACTCCTTTACTACCCGTATTATTGAGCAAAAATGATGAGTTCCCTCAGATCCCCCAAACCAGTGATTTTCATCGGTGCCGCTGGCGAAATGTGCCGGTTGGCTGTCGAGCGTTTCGCCAAGGCAAGTGATAATGCCCTGGTTCTCACCGATATCAATCTGTCCACGCTCGAGACGACCGTCGCCAAACTCAATCTTCCAGCTTCCCGCATCTCTACGAAGCAGTTGGATCTCTTTGACCGGACCGCCCTGCTCGAAGCAATCAAGGACGCCGCACTGGTTGTGCTTGGTGCAGGGCCTTATACGCGCACTTCGGAACCCGTACTTACCGCGTGTCTGGAAGCCAGGGTGCCTTACCTTGATTTTGATGACGATGTGGAGAGCACTCAAGCCGCTCTTGCTCTCCATGAGCGTGCAAAGGCGGAAGGCGTGCCGTGCTACATCGGATGCGGCACGTCCCCAGGCATGTCCAACATAATGGTTCTTGATGTCACTGCAGAGCTCGACACCGTGGACTCAATCGACATTTGCTGGAGTGTCAGCGACGGCAAGGGCAAAACCGGCAAGGTGGTCTTGGAACACTTGATGCATATTGCTGCTGGCCCCTGCCTCACATGGGCGAACGGCAAGCGAACAATGAACGAATCCTGGGTTGAAACGACTTACGCTCCAATGCTGGGCGGGGAAGGGGAAATGCTCCTCCACGAGACTGCTCATCCGGAGCCAGTCACCTTCCCACGCCTCTTTCCCGACGCTCGCCGAATCCGTTGTGTCGGTAGCCTGGATCCTGCCCCGGTTAACGCTATCGCCAGGGGCCTTGGCCGCGCCGTCCACCGCAATGCCTTGGCCACGAGCGACGATATCGATTTTCTGTTTCATCTGGCCAACGACGAGACCTCCCTGGCGGGAATTGGTGAGGCATTTGGTGAAATGGCTGCGCAGTTCCGCGGTGGTGACGTCACAATCAAGGAGCTATTTCAACTGGTCGCTCACGCGAATCGCAAACTCAGCCCCCTGCGGTACGCTCTGTGGGGGATGGTCGGTGAGCCAGGCAGGCTCCATTGCCATACTCATATGGCAAACATTAGCCATTCTGACCCTGACATTCGAACAACTCCGGACAGATAAAGGGCAATATGAAGAACTACATAGGTGCTATTCCGCAATGACAGATTTGATCGATGTTTGGAGGTCGGCCTGGGGCCAAATTAATCGCTCGGCGGCCATGAGTCTGCACCGGTCACGGCCAATGTGCTACGCAGCGTTCATTTCTGTTCTACGGATGTTGACCTCGCCATACTTCTTTTCTGCGAGCTTATCTGCCAACTGTAGTCTCAACTTGCGGAGCAGATATCATTATCGTCGTTGTCATCACCGGCAAGGGGGCGGCTATGGTACGCTCTCAAGGAAAAAAGTTCCTGCCACAGGGACCAACGCCGTACGAGCGCAATGCAAATATCTCATCTGGCCATGGCAATTCAAGATGTGTCGAGTCCAGGCTTCCAAGGCAAGAGTGGCCTAAAGGCGAACATTGAAGACATCAGCGCGCACCCGGTGAGTACAGACAGCCTCTCCTCCATATTCAGGACTAACCAGACCGTGCAGTATCCTACTCTGGTGGTGCAGGCACATAAACTTGCGGCCAAAGCGCTAGCAGATGAGATCCAATGCTCGATCTCCCAAATGGACGCCAAACGCATTCCAGAGCTAACAGTTGGCCTTGAGAGCTGTATGCAGGGGTTGCAGCGGCTTCAAGGAGCTCTTGTGATGTTTCCGGAAATGAGCAGTGACATAGACCGGCTGTTCCAGTAGTGTTATGTATATGTCTTGGGATTCATACGCAAGATTTTGGCATTCGAACATCCAGTGCTGAATCATAGGAGCTAAAAATTTATAGATATGGGAGAGACTTCTCCGACCAAGGTGATCAGGACAAGTTTGCAATTCTACATTCTACTAAGGAAGTTCCGGAGACCCTTGAAGGTGAAACTTGAATAATCCTCAAGCCTATTCGAATGAAAGCCGATCATCCATCCATGCCTTTACCTAAATCAGCGCAAATACACTTCGGACGTGTATAGGAGGTCTATCACAATGTGGCTGTTAGAGCACTTGGCCTGGTACATGACTCATCAATAGATAAACTTCTGTAAGAATAAACTTTAGAGCAAGTTTCTAGGATAGGCTAAATTTATTTCTGAGTAAGAATTCCTAATGGTACTGTTTATGTAGCTCTAAGGCAATGATGTTCAGTTTCGACATTTGGGTTCCGCCGGCATTGAAGGACCGGATATGTCTCCCTTGGTCCCGTGGTGGTGTATAGGCCCTTTTCTGCTACGTCAAAATTGCCTGCGAGCTTCCCTGGTTCAATATGTATAAGACTCCTTTTTGATCAATGAATACGGTTGCAAGGAATGTTGGTGCAATCTGAAGTTGCCAAGCATATATCCATTTCTCAATGTTGTGCGACAACGACAAATATATGTGAGTATGGATTTCAATTTTAGCTCACATAATTCATGCTCAAGTTCATAGGAAACTATGATATTCGAGATTCTTTCGCAGCCTTGAGTTGGATTAGTTGCACGGATTAGTGAATCCAGGATTGATAACGTACTAACGAGCCCTGTGTTTGCATTCCTACTGGTTGAACTTGTGTTTCCTGACCGTCGCCTGCACGCTCTCCGGATATACGACCCAATAGTATGAGTTGGACTTCGCTCGAGGCTCGACAAGATCAACCTAAAACGTAAGTATATATTATTGATTTTATGGTCCGGTACTCACATCATAGTTCATGAACAGGGCAGTAACAAACTTCTTGATTTCAAACATGGCGACGTTCTGGCCCAGGCAACCTCGTGTCCCGGCCCCAAACTGGCGCAATCAGACATTGAACGTACCAAGGACCTGGACTGCATCTGACTTACACTAAGCAAGCTGGCTTCAAGTTTTCTAATACTTGCCGGTTCGCCTTCCAGCCAGCGACGGGGACGCCACAGGTCCGCATCATCCCCCCATGTCGGCCGATAGCGATTAGTAATATAGGGACTCATGCCTACAACGGTACCCCCAGGGTAAAAGTGACCACAGATTGTCGCTCCTTCTGCAGGAACCACTCGTTCGAGAGGCATAGCGAATGGAGGATCAAGCCGGAGTGACTCTTTAATACAAGCGTCTAGGAAGGGGAGGTTCTGCAGCTCATGCCATTGAGGAATAGGAAGACTGAGCCCCGTGGTAGTGCCTTGCTTATCCCGCAGCTCGGCTCGTACTGTTTCCAGTGCGTCAGGGTGTTCCACGAGGAAACAGACCACAGATCGAAGCATGGAGGCCGTGGAGTCGGCCCCTCCCAGGATATTGGCAAAGGTCCACGTTGACACAAATCGAAGCGGTACATTTTCCTTTTTCTCCTGGGCTTGTAGATAGTACCCGAGGAAGTCACCGTCGGCACAGGGTCCGTCGGCGTTTGCATTGGAGAGCGTGTTATGACTGTTCCGACGCTCGTTCCGACGCTCTGAGATACGCGCCAGAACGTAGTCCAGAAGAGGGGCAATGGATTCGCGTTTGATGAGATTTGCTAGTCGGTTCTTATGCAAGAGCCAATCGACCCATGGTATCTGCGTCATCTGCTAATAGTTGAGTCTTACCCCATGTGAACGTCCTCCGTGGTGTATAACTTACCGGTCCGATACTCAGGTTTGCCCTCTTGACGTCGTCCATGATACCGTATAAGTCTCTCCCATGCTGCACGTACCCATATGGGCGGGAGAATGTCATCAAGCCCATGGTATCGTAGGATAAGAATTTAAGCCAGCTTGTCAGGTCAAAATGTGCTCCCGTGGGCAGAAACTGGCGATCAAGCTGGTCAAAGAACATTCGTGTAGCACTATCCATTCTTTTCTCGAACGAGGATACAGTATACGAGAGCGAATAATACACGGAGATATGTTGCTTCATTTGTCGATTCGTCGCGTCGTCCTCTGCGGTGAAGACGGAGAGGAGTAGGCCGTCAGTGGTCCATGGTCGGAAGGCGCGGTACATGTTGCTCTGCTTTGGTCAGATGATCTTCGCATTCATAAATAGGGAGAGAGACAGCTTGATGGAGATGGGGATTGCATGCCTTGGGAAATCCGCCCCGCAGGTTGAAGATTGTCTGGATGGCCTCCGGGTCACAAATGCATACTAGGTTGGGACCGAATCGCACGGCGGGACCATATCGTTGGTGAGCAAGAGCTTGGTACAGGTGGATGAAGCCACGGCGCGCTAGGATGAAGCGATGGAAGTTGGTGAATTTTGCGACGAAGGGACCGGGGATGTGCTGCAGCTGCGAGTATGTACTGTAGAAGTGATAGACCAGTACAGTGGAGATTCCAACAACCAGGACAGCCAGTACCTGTTGCGTGTCCAGAGACTCCCACAGCATTTTCAGTGATAATAATGGTAAATATGGTAGGTGGTGAAATGTAGAAGATCACTGCTCGTCCACCCTACTCTATTTGTAGCCCGAGGCACATCGCTCGACTGAAAGACAAGAAGTGACAGGGTTGGAAGGCAACAATGTACGGCCTAGGACGAACTTACGATGTCCAGTGGTTCAGTGAAAGTACGACCCGCGCAAGCCGCAGGATATTCCCCAGTTCTGTCACACAGAGATCTATTGATGTGACAGTCCCCAACTGCATGCCTCAGCGTATGTGTTACACAACCTTGGAACAGAGTCAAAGGTCAGCACGACTGACTGGTGGAGATCGAAGCCAGAACAGGTCATTATAATAAAGAAGACGAACCTGCAATACATCTAATCAAGATAAGAGATTTGTATGCAATATTATGTAGTCCAGGTTCAAACTTGCAGTACCAGGATCGAACCGCGTCGAGATCTAGTAGACTTTGTCCGTGAAGATCGAAGAGACACGGGTTGATTGGATCGGCTAACAGCACTACAACTGTGGGCAGCGACGACCAAACTTAAACCGACTGAGGTACAGAAATCTGTAAGGAGGTGGCAGGTTATTGAATAGATCGATCAAGTACTCTATGCTCTTGTTGGCTTGCAGGCCGCCCTTTCTTCATAGGACTTCATAGCGAAATAGCGGTGAGTTGGAATCGCGCGTGACAGCATTAATCGCCACTGAGACCGAAGACGCAAACCGGTCCAATTTCTTAAATAAATAAAAGATCATAGGTGCTGCGTCCCCGCATGTAAGCCCATCTTTTCATCGGCTCTCCGCTGTGATGCTGTCAGGCCGCATGAAGCAAAGTCTGTCCTGGCTCTCTGACCATGCCTCCGCTGAACCAAACCATCCAAAGGGCGTACTGGAAATGGACATGGCGGAAAATTGGCTTGTCCGACCCGAAGTACTTCCTATAATCAAAGACGCCGTGTCATTGAACCTGAAACAGCAGGACCTCTCATATTCCCAAGAGCTAGGTGGACCTCCAGGGCTTTTGCATGTGTCTGCATCATTTTTCAATCGCTTCTTCTCTCCTCGAGTTGCTGTTTTACCCGAGCACATCGTTACGAGCACAGGGTGCGCATCAATTCTTGAGACCCTTATCTTTTCGATTTGCGATACTGGAGATGGTCTACTGCTAGAGACACCCATGTGGGATGGGTTTGCGGTCACGTCAACGCTGAGAAACAACGTCCAGATACTTCCCGTGAAATATTCGAGACAACCGACAAATGCAGCGGATCTTATACAGCACTATAGCGAAGCGATGAAAAATGCAACGTGTCCAATTCGGGGCCTCATCGTTTGCAATCCCCACAACCCTCTTGGTCAGATTTATCCTACCATATGGTTAGAGGCACTGCTTCGATTCTGCGAAACTCATAAAATTCACTTCATCTCGGACGAAATATACGCCCTTTCCAATTTTGGGGCGATTAGATGCAGTCAAGATGTCAGCAACCCCGACGTTGTGATTGGGCTAGAAGCGAAGTTCACATCGGTATTGGCAATAGACCTGCAGCGACTTGAGGTCGATCCCGCTCGTGTCCACATAGCTTACAGTGTCAGCAAGGATCTTGGTAGTAGCGGGGTTCGACTGGTTTGTCATAATTCTCAATGCATATATTGGTGCAAACTAACTCTGATACATTCTCAGGGATATCTCGTTACACAGTCGAATCCTGGGCTTCGCCATGCACTAGCGGTCCTTAACAGATTCAAGGTGTCTAATATAGCATCGACAGTTGTTGCTTCTCTCTTCTCGAATCTTCAGACGCTTGAAAACGTACTGGATTGTAGCAAATCTCGCCTGCGCATAGCGGCGGAGATGGTGCAAAATTTCCTGTCATTCCATCAGATTGCGTTCTATTCCCCAGTTGCTGGATGCTTCATGTGGGCGCGGGTCGGGGGCAAGCTAGCGACAGAGGAAACAGACGCAGAGCTACTTGAAAAATTTGCAGCGGCAGGTGTGGCCGTTGCTGCTGGCTCCAAGTTCAACAGCAGAGAACCGGGCTGGTTTAGACTCACGTTTGCCCTACCCCGGAAAAATCTGATCGAAGGACTACGTCGAATCGAAATTGCAATGGAGGCGAAACGACATTGGATACCGGACAAAACCTATTGCGAAGCCACGGGCATTTGGGATAAGTCTGAGCCAGGTTGCCCATTGTGTTGATCCCGCTCCGCCAGGTCTCTACTTAACTTCGTGTAGACATGGCCTCTTGGGGTTACCACCCGGGAATTAGATCAGATAAAGTTGTAATACATCAGGGGTCAAAAGTCTGTGCACACTCCGCGTATCTGTGACTAGACTGGCTGTGGGGTGGATATGGGTTGATCCACAGCATGTCTGATCCA